TCTCTCTCTTCTCTTCTCTTCTCTTCTCTTCTCTTCTCTTCTCTTCTCTTCTCTTCTCTTCTCTTCTCTTCTCTTCTCTTCTCTTCTCTTCTCTTCTCCTCTCTTCTCCTCTCTTCTCCTCTCTTCTCCTCTCTTCTCCTCTCTTCTCCTCTCTTCTCCTCTCTTCTCCTCTCTTCTCTTCCCATCTTCTAATAACTTCCAGACTTAAATTCTAGCTATTCACATTCACATTCTTGGTAAGTTAAAAGGATGTACATGGAGGTCTTCATCAAAATGGAAAAGAATCCTAGATGGAAAAGTGAAAGTAGTTGATGAAAACCCAGAGAGACTGGGATTCACCTTCCGAACTCATCCTCTAAATAACAGCAGAGGGAGCAGCTGCTTGCAAGGTTTTAGTCTAAGAACATAAAATGCACTCTTTTCCTGGTGGCTTCTTTTTCTCTGCTGACACCAAATCTCTAGAAAATGGAATGAGTTCCCAGCTGATTCTACACGGCAAAACGAAACAGAAATTGATACTACCCTTACCCTTCTTGTTTGCTAAAGAAAATGTAGGTTCTTTCTCCTTCATATGGCTTGAAATCAATGCAGGACTTCAGGCGGAACATTTCAAATGCCTGGAGAATGACTCCTTTGGCATTCAGGTCTGGAAAACAAGGACAGAACCTTTAAGACATTGCAGTTTGTTCACCTTGGAGGGGCAAAATATATACAGATACACATGTGGAACCAAAAGAAAAATTATTGAAAAGAGAAATTAATGAATTTTACTAAATTGTGGTTTGCTGTGTTAGCTGTAGAAGAAAGAAAAATAATTTTGATATAAACAAGACTACAATAAGTAGTTATTAGTGAAGTTTAATTTTTTAAATTTGAAACAGTTCTGAAAAAGGTGAATTTTTTATCACAGTGACTGCAGTGCAAATAAGTATTGGAGATAAAATCTGAATAAAGTATCTGCATTACCTAGGTCATCACCCAGAATATAGGGAATGGGGAACTTCCATCTGTAAGCCTCATTTCTTAAGGCATTTCTCTGATCTTTCTGAAAAGGGAATTAACAGTTGGTGATGCATCTACTGTAGCGAGATGAGCTGAAACAATTAGGACAAGCAACAGAAAGCTTTTAATTACTTACAGGGAGCAAGATATCACCCTGAAAGAGGTCCAGTCCAGCAGCTGAAATGGAATTTAATCAAAGATAGTGTCAATGAATTTCAAATATATTTCATTCCATAAACCACATTGAACCCGCTTATACAAAGTTAATGTCCTTGGGCATCTACAGGAAATAAATAAGGACCAGCCTCTCTACACTGAGTTACAGGTAATAATAAAAGTAACAGCAGTTTCTAGTCTCTATTCAATATTTACTTCTTAGCAATGTCTTCTTGGCAGTGCCTTTGTTTTTGGCACAATTATCCGTGGTCATGGGTAGAGCTTGGATGAGCTCTGCTTGCTCTCAGGCAGTGACAAGAGTCACACAATTGGACAGTGACCAATCTAAGTTGTTTTCCATGTTTACAACACTTTATAAAAATCTTATGGAGATGGGCAGAAAATGCCCATCAGGCCTTGCGACAATTTAGGTGTGAACTCACCCAAGTTGATCTGGGGAATGTCTTTGAATACCTCACCAGCTCCGGCATCTGCAAGACAGTCAAAACAGTGTTTGGATGTGGTGGCTCACAGCAAGTAGAGGGAAATGCTTCAAAACTCAAACCAGCTCACACAGCACTTACCAGCTTCACTGGAGAGCTGTCCCACCTGGAGAAGAATGGAATACAACCAGTATAAGGTATGAGATGCCTCTGGACTGAGAGGAGCCTGTAGAAATCAGGTTTTACTTACAGAGAGTGGAGAACCATAGACAGAGCACAGCAGAAGTGTCAGGCAGAGTGGGAAGATGCTGGAGCCCATTCTTGCAGTGAGAACAGAAGCTGGTCCCTCTCTTCTCTGGCAATATATAGGGCACATTGCTGGGCTTTCCATGGAGCATCAGCCAATAAGCATCAGACTTTCCACCTTTGAAATATTATTCTAACAGTTAGATTTCCTCCTAGATGGCACCTAATGTCATTGCTCCTATCAGCTACCTAAGTCCACTTGGCAGATCATTGCAGAGAGGAATGTGGAATCTTCATGTCTTCAGTGCAGCAGGTGAAAGACCCACACAGGCTTTACATAACAGCTTCTCCATCTGGCCCAAAGTTGCTGACTCCTTCCCCTGTGTTTGTTATCTGTCAGCATTATGATCTTGACTGCACAGGAGAAAAGCAGAAATGTTTCAGATTACTCTTAAGCAGAATTATTCCAGGTTTATAGCACTTCAGTGCCATTAGAATTTGGCACAGTTCTGCTTTCAATTAATAATTAACACCACACTGTAAAGATTAGAAGTAAGAGAGATATGATTATGAATCCCCTGAAATGTCTTTCCTCACCTGATCCCACCCCAGATCTAATGCTCCATGCACAACCTGCCACTCCCTGCCTTCAGAACAGTCACTTACAGCAGTAATCCTTGGCCTTCCAGGTGGGTTTCACAGACCATAAACTCTTGTCCTGCATCTTTCTATCTTCTTTCTCAGGGACATAGGTCAGGAAGGGCTCCATGAAACTCTAGTTTGCTGTGCATCAGTATTCCCACAGCCCCCATGTGCCCTGGAGTGCCTGAGTGCCTCTAGCTTAGGCATAGAATCCTGCTCCTCAATTTCAATTTCACATCTGCAATTCCAAGTCATGCATGTGAGGATGTTCACCTCTGTGTTCAGCAATTAGATAGAAAAGGGCTTGTGCCATGACACCACTACCCACAGCACAAGGCAGAGAGCTTGAGTAAGTAGGTTTTAAATTGGAAATGGGCCTTTCCTAGAAAGAAGTCAGTTCTTCAAGCTAAGCAACATATTTTTCTCTAAACAAATCAAAGTAGGAATCTATTCATGAGAGATAGCACTGCAGAGGAAAAAGTGCAGAGATCTTTTCTTGTTTAGAGAAGAAGGGCCCTAGAGCACTAACCCTTCACCTCACACAAATGAATGCTCTTCAACACTTTCTTTTAGGAATGATTGTTGCTGACACCTAAGCTGAACAGGTCTTACTACAAGTAAAACAAGCATGCCTCAAGACACATCATGTCAAGGCTGTTTTCACAGGTGAGAAAAGAGAGTCAAAACAAAGCACCAAGGTCATATTTCCAGATGTTTGGCAGCAGATGTGAGAAAGGAAGAAGAAGAAATGAAACAAAAGTAGAGCTGTCTGAAAAACATTTGGGTTTTAGTAGCCTTAACTTTAAAATAACTCAAGAACCTACAGCAGATGTCTAAAGATAAGTCATTCTGAGGGCATATATTTGTTTTCATTGATATACATAGGGGTCTCTTGGATGCCTTTTAGGCACTGGCCTAGGCTCTAAGGTCTCCCTAGAGCCCTCTCTTCTCCAGGCTGAGCAGCCCCAGCTCCCAGCCTGTCTCCATAGCAGAGGGACTCCAGCACCAGTTTCATTTTGTCCCCCCTGGAGAGCAGTACATGCACATTATTCCATTGGCTGCAGTTCTGTGAAAATCTTGGAGATGGGAAAAGCTGCTTCTCTTCCATTCTGGGAAGTACAGCAGGTGCCCTTTGGTCTCTTAAACTACATTGTATGAAGTGCCCAAAACTGCTGTGCATCAATATTCCCACAGGCAAGGTCCACCCTGGATTCCTAGACACAGGCACTACCTCGTGTCACTAAATGCAGATAATACCTTTTATTAATCTGCTTGCACTGGTTGTAACTCCACTGTAACACAGATAAACTCAGACACAGAAATGTGGCTGAAATTTATTTCCTTCATAAAAGCAAGAACAAAAACAAATGTCTCCTGGGCTGGAAAAACTGGCACTCATATCAAGCTGGCATCAACCACATTTTTTTAATAAAAAAAAAAATTACCCATTCACCTTCCCAATTTTTAGGTAAGTCTGTTTACCTTTGCAGGGCTTGAAATCAACAAAAGACTGAACTTGTGAAATGCCTCCAGGTTAACAACTTCAGCATTCAGATCTGAAATGCACAGCAGAGGATAAACACAGCGGTTGCTCTGCTTTTAAAGTATTATAAATATCTGTAATTCTAGATAGAAAGAATGAATAAGTGTACATTAAAAATATGAGCATATATAAAAATATCTGCCTGGATGAAAGAGCACAAAGCTGTTAGCAAAATTCCCTGCCTGGAGTAGTTTTGGCAAAGGTCAAAGAGAGATAATCTTTTATGAGATAAACTGATAGTGCTGAGACAAACAAGCAGGCTTTTGGACATTCAGGGCATTGTTCAGGTACCAGTGGAATATTTTATTGCATGTTATAATGTAGTCTGAAATGTTGTCAACTTGGAGCTCAGGACCAGTAAAAGAAGATACAAGACAAATACATTTGATTTTAAAATCAGTGTGCCATTTATTTTTAGTCCTGTATTATTCAAAACTTAAAATAGTATATAAAAATCAGATAGCAACAAAGATAATGCCCTAAACTACTTTACTTAGAAAATATCTATATATACTCTTGGTCTGTACAAACTAGTAGGAAGAGACAAAACACAAAGGGTAGAGCAGATCAATATGAATGTTTTTCAGAGTAGGATTCCCTGACTTGATTACTCACCTCACTGCCCTGGCTGTGCTTTGCTCAGTGCAAACTCCACTCTGAGTGATCATCATTGGTGACAAAGAGACAGAAGAACCCAGATCCTCAAGCCTGACACTGATCAAACAGGGATCAGCCTCAAAATCACAACACTCTCCACCACAGAAAAACATCTCTGCTGTTTGTGTCACCTAACACACCCCCCAAAACCAACATTCAAATAGTCAAGAGTGACACTGGCCCCGGGTAAGGGGATACCCAGCACATTTACATCCCTGCACCTGCCCTGCTGCCCAGAGCAGCAGCAGCAGCAGCAGCAGCAGCAGCAGCAGCAGCAGCAGCAGCAGCAGCAGCAACAGCAGCAGCAGCAGCTCTCTCAAGCTCCTCTTGCCACCCCTGACACTCCACAACAGCAGCCACTGACCGGCCTCAGGCTCTGCTGCCACAGCCCCTTGGCCAGCACAGCTCTGCTCCCCAGCTCGCAGCATGGAAGCTTGTCACTCTTCCCAGCAATCCAATGTCACTTCATATGGGGTCATGTCTTTGGCCATCATCTCCCTGGAGGTGTTTGCTAGCGTGTGGATAAATGCCTTTCTTGTTTGTGTGCTTTGCATTGCCTGGGTCAAAAAGAAAACCCTGAACTCTAATGAGAAGATCTTGCTGCTGCTGGGGTGCTCCAGGATTTCCTTTTTGTGCTTCTCATGGGTAAACTACTTCCTTTCAATAATTTATCCCAATTGCCTTTATGTTTGCCCGATATTTCAAGTACTTGCATCTTCCTCAACCTTTTTTAATTATTCCAGTTTGTGGGTTTCAGCCTGTCTTTGTTGTTTCTACTGCATAAAAATTGCCAATTTCAGGAACAGGTTCTTCATCTACCTGAAAGTAAAAATTGACAGGATGGTGCCCTGGCTCTTGTTGGGGTCAGGGATTTTAGCCTTGGCAAGTTGCATTGTTATCTATGACATCACTGAAACTCTGCAGAGTAGCAACTTCACTTTCACCTTCCAAGAAAATTTTTGGGAAGCAAGAATCACAATGGATAAACATTTTTTCTCATCTTTTTTTCTCGCTGGCTTTGGATATGCTGCTTCATTCACGGCAGTCATCTTTTCTGCTGTTTTCCTTCTCTTTTCTCTCTGGAGACACAAGCACAAGATGCAGACAAACTCCATGAAGGACCTCAGCATGGATGCCCACATCAGAGCCATGAAATCTATTCTCTCCTTCTTAGTGATGTACAGCATCAACTTTGTATGTTTGATCTTGTCAATAATTTATTCCATGATGAATGAAAATACCACTATACTTATATCCATATATCTGTGTGCTTTTCCAGGTATTCATTCCCTTATTCTGATTTTCAGCAATCCCAAGCTAGAAAAGGCACTGCTGAAGATTCTCTCCTATGTGAAGTGCAAGTTTTTCACAAAGTAGGAACTGTGATAAAAGCTGGAGCCCATGCAAAATGTTGATCTTTCACTGTAGAAAACAAGTAATTGAATTTCTGATGCAGCTCTCCAGGCAGTGTAGATGATACTGATGATCAGTCTTCAACATCCAAGTTAATAAAACTTCATTCATATCTATTGAGCTAAATTATTGTGAGCTAAATACATTATTATCATTTTTAGATTTAGCTAAATCTTTGAGATAAATTTTTGTTGTTAACAAAGTCATTTAGCCCTGATGGTAAGAATGATGCCTAAGCCCCTGTGTTGTTAAGGGATTAATGTGGACATGCGAGTCTGTAGGTGGGGGGATGGATCATCAGGCAGAGGCCATTAACCTCTGCCTGAGCCCAGTGGGGTGATGCTAATTAAGTGTTCAGCCTCTGCCCAAGACTCACAGCCTTTGCAGTTGAACCCTGGATATCCCTCATCTCCATAGCAGTTGGCTGCCCACCACCATTTACCATGGCAGCAATAAGGTATTCTGACTGCAGCTTCACCTGCACTTCTCCCAGAAGTATACATTTGGCATTTGAAATCTTCCCTGGAAGAGGAGGAGAATATGACCCCACTGTGCAGACAGGACAACAGGATTGGTTCACTCTCCTCCCCAAGGCAGGGAACGCCTCTTTGTTAAGATTTGCTCTTTCAACTGTGTCAGATTGTACCCTGGTGAAAGTCTGTTCACAGGCCCAACTGATGGTGAAGTTGAGCTTAATGAATTACCCACTGCTCTTCTGTTTTTTCTTTTTCTTTTTCTAAATATATTTAGAGCTAATCCAATGAGTGTATTTATTAGTGGCAATTCTAAATTTGTATGTCTACAATAAAATGCATTATTTGTGATTCTGTGACTCTGAAAGTTCTTACTGAACATGACAAGATTTATGTGGTGAATTTGCCAAAATCAGAAATTAAGCTGAGCTGCACCCATACCCTTTGATCTCTGAGGACCAGCAAGGGCTTTACTTTCTGCCAAATTTCTATACTCTTAGTGGAACAGAAAAATATCCAACACTGGTACACAAACTGGCTGCAAAAAATGGAATAACAATACTGACAACCTTCCACAAATATTTTGGTATCCATTGAATGAAATGGCTGCAATACATAGGTTTATCTCTATTTTGGTTTACCTTTCCTTCTGCTGTGTGCTGTGTGGTATATTATGGGCTGTATCCCTGTCTGGCAGTGGCTGATAGCTCTGTGAGAACTCACCAGGGCTGGTCCCTGACCCCCAAACAGCCAGGCAGGAACGGCCCCGGGGAGCTCAGGGGGTGCTGAGCCCCCGGCCCACTCCAGCCCTGCGTTCCTCTGTGCCCACTGCCTGCAAGGACAGGATTGCTGCTCCGTGTCACTGCTCTCCCAGCCTGACCTGCAGATGGGATTGGCTTTTCCCAGCGCACTCTGGCCCAGTGGAACACCCAGCTAACAGGCTTTGCTCTCGATCAGGGAAACAGCTTGAGGAGTCAGGAGTGAAGGAGACAACTTGTTAAGAGCTGACTGCAGCCCCTATTGGATTTGCCTCTGTGCTGCTGTTGTGGGGGAGGTGGAGGAGCTGGGGATGATGGAGTGAAGTTGAGCCTTGGATGAAAAGGTGGTGGAGGCAGTGCGATCAAGTTTTCTATTTCTTCCTCATTATCCTACTCTATTTTCTATATTTCAATAAATTAATTTTCCTGATGTCAAATACATTTGTTCCATGACAGTAACTGGTGAGTGATCTCCCTGCCTTAATCTCAAACCATGAATTTTTCCATCCTGTTTTTCACCCCTGCCCAGCCTGTGGGTGTGAGAGAAGGAAGAGATGGGTGGAGTTCTGGCAGCTGCCTGAGGTCAACCCATCACAGCAGGTGAAACACGAAATAGTGCCAGCATATACAAAACAGAACCTGAATTGGACAATTCTGTCATCAGCTCAGGTCCAAAGGCACATGGTAAGCATCTCTTCTGGACACATCTCCCCTGTGAAAGGCCTTGAAAGGACAGGAACAGCCACACCTCCCTTCTTCCCCTGCTGCTGCTCATGAACATCCTCTAACCTGACAGTCCTGCTGCTGGCTCTTATATCCCACAGAAATCATGGCTATCATCATTTGGAGGACAGAAAATGCTGGTGGTTCATTTCCTGTAGCCATAGAGCTCTTTGTCGGGGTTTCATTTTTCCTGGTTCCACCAGAGCATTGGAGAGATCTCCTTGGTTACTGTGGTCCTGATGTGCAAGGCCTAATGTAACAGGTCCTGTACTAACACGGAGTGCATGGGCAGTCCATGCCCTACAGAGCTTTACACAACTGGTCAGGCAGAACCTCACAGCTTTCAGGGTATAAATTAATTTGGAAGCTTTAGGGAATTGCAGTGTGGAGGAAATCCAGCATGGTGCCACCTTTATAACCCTTCACTTTCCCAGCAGATGAGATTGGAACTCTGGCACAGGGACTTGTACTGATTTTTACCCTTTTCCTCTATATGCTCCAAATTAAGCCTGCAAAAATTCCAGCTTTACTTTATGAGACTCCCTTCACCTGCCCCACTAAGTGGCCCTTCACTTACTCTTAAGGGAATACCATAGATTTCGATGCCTGTGAAGGATCAAAATAAACTCCACTATTCCAGCATCTAGGTTGAAGGTTGCAGCACCCAGACTCTCAGACTAAGAAGGACAGTGAGTCCCCTGACCTGCTGAGCGCAGCCAGGGCTCTGCACGATCATCATAGGTAAAGAAGGGACAGAAGAACCCAGATCCTCAGGCCTGAAAGTGATCAAACAGGGATCAGTCTCAAAATCACAGAACTCTCCACCACAGAAAAACATCTCTGCTGTTTGTCTCACCCAACACACCCCACAAAACCAACATTCAAATAATCAAGAGTGACACTGGCCTCGGGTAAGGGGATACCCAGCACATTTACATCCCTGCACCTGCCCTGATGCCCAGAGCAGCAGCAACAGCAGCAGCTCTCTCAAGCTCCTCTTGCCACCCCTGACACTCCACAACAGCAGCCACTGACCGGCCTCAGGCTCTGCTGCCACAGCCCCTTGGCCAGCACAGCTCTGCTCCCCAGCTCGCAGCATGGAAGCTTGTCACTCTTCCCAGCAATCCAATGTCACTTCATATGGGGTCACAACTGTGGCCATCATCTCCCTGGAGGTGTTTGCTGGCATGTGGATAAATGCTTTCATCATTTGTGTGCTTTGCATTACCTGGGTCAAAAAGAAAACCCTGAACTCTAATGAGAAGATCTTGCTGCTGCTGGGATGCTCCAGGTTTTGCTATTTGTGTTTCTCATGGATATATGACTTTGTCTCAAATATTTTCCCCTATTGCCTTCTGGTTCATCCCATACTTCAACTCCTTCAAGGTTCTTACAGCTTTTTTAATAGTTCCAACTTGTGGGTTTCTGCCTTTCTTTGTGGTTTTTATTGTATAAAAATTGCCAATTTCAGGAACATGTTCTTTGTCTGCCTGAAGGTAAAAATTGACAGGATGGTGCCCTGGGTTCTGTTGGGGTCAGTGATCTTCTCCCTGATTATTGGAATTCTTGTCTACAACACAATTGATAAAGCTATCTGTAAAACCTTCAATTTTACCTGCCAAGAAAAACTTTGGAGAGCAACTAATGGAATAGAGGAACATTTTTTCCCTATTTATTTTCTCACTGGCTTTTTACATACTACTGCTTTCATGGCAGTCATCTTTTCTGCTCTTTTCCTTCTCTTTTCTCTCTGGAGACACAAGTGCATGATGCAGAAAAACTCCATGAAGGACCTCAGCATGGATGCCCACATCAGAGCCATGAAATCTGTTCTCTCCTTCTTAGTGATGTACAGCATCAACTTTATGTTTTTGATCTTGACTCTAATTTATTCACTTAAGAACCAAAATCATGTGATATTTCTTAGTTGCTTAATTCAACGTGCTTTTCCAGGTGTTCATTCCCTTATTCTGATTTTCAGCAATCCCAAGATGGAAAAGACACTGCTTAGAATTCTCTCCTGTGTGAAGTGCAAGCCTTGCATAAGGTAGAAACTGAAAAAAAGCTGGAGCTCATGCAAAATATCTTTAGAGAAAACAAGTTCAATTAATTTTCATTGCAACTCTCCAGGCAGTATAGATTGCAGAGAAGTTCAACTTAGATGTTAAGAATATCCATTTCAAATTCTTAAAACTAATATTATTATGAGGCAAATGAATTTATATTTGCATTTAATTAAAACAGCTCTTGGAGTTAAATTACTGTCAGTAGCAAAGTCATTTAGGCCTTGTACAGGTGCTGGATGCAAAAGGACAATAATCATACTGCAAACCTGCCTCAAACATTTTGATTTTCACTGATTGAACTGACTGAATGAAACAACAGCTTTTTCTCTATTTTAGTTTACCTTTCCTTCTGCCATGGCCCTGTGCTGTGTGGTGTATTATGGGCTGTATCCCTGTCTGGCAGTGGCTGATAGCTCTGTGAGAACTCACCAGGGCTGGTCCCTGACCCCCAAACAGCCAGGCAGGAACGGCCCCGGGGAGCTCAGGGGGTGCTGAGCCCCCGGCCCACTCCAGCCCTGCGTTCCTCTGTGCCCACTGCCTGCAAGGACAGGATTGCTGCTCCGTGTCACTGCTCTCCTGGCCTGACCTGCAGATGAAATTGGCTTTTCCCAGCGCACTCTGGCTCAGTTACAGCCCCAGGAAGGTGGGTTTTGGGCAAGGTGCAGCGTGGAATGAAGCCACAGCTTCATCTTGCAGTGACCCACAGGCAGATGTACGGGGTGCCTGGGCCAGGAGCTGCAGCTGGGGGCCGGTGGGGTCTCAATCTGGTGAGGTCTAATGCTGGGAAAAGCCAGTTCCAGGCACTCCAGTGGACCCACCATGGGACACCGCTCATCTCATCAGCGACTGTTGTGGTTCCTCTGGGAAAAGAAAGTCCTGAAGGACTGCAGCCCATGGGAGGGAGACATGCTGGAGCAGGAGAAGACTGAAGTAGACAACTTTTTATGAGCTGACTACAGTCCCCATTTCCTGTCCTCCTGAGGAGAGGAGGTGGTAAAGAATCTCTGAATGAGTTAAATTGACCCTGAGATTATTGGGGGGGGTGAAGATAAAATATTCTAGTTTTTTGCATGTTCTACATCATCCTACTCTGTTTTCAATAGGCAATAAATTAAACTGATTTTCCCTGTGCCAAGTCTGTTTTTTCTGTGAGAACAATTGGTGAGTAATTCCCCTGTCTTTATCTTGACTCATGAGCAGTTCCATCTTATTTGTGACCCCTGCCCTATTCCAGAGTGAGAGTGAAGGAGTGACTGAGTGGGGCTCTGAGAGCTGCCCTAGGTCAACTCACCATGACAGGGCCTGCAAATGTGAAATAGTTCCAGTGTGGAGGAATACATTCAGTGCAGACAGCTCAGGGAGCAGCTGCAGTGGGAGCTGCAGGTTGTGGGGAAGCGCTGGGAGTCCCAAGCATGGTGCCAAGCCTTGCACAGCAAAGGGCACAGGGACCTGTGGCACCAGCCAGGTGACTGGACACTTAAGACACTCCAATCCTCATGTGCATGGACAGGAAGGACACAAAATCCCAGGGATCCAATTGTTTGGGTTACCTCCTCAGAGGCACCCAGACTGAGCTGCTTCTGTGTTGCTGTGCCATGATTAAAGTGCTTTAAAGATCCAGAGGCCTGAGACTCTACAGTGGGAAAGCCAGTGACAAGCTGGTGAGGAAACCTGGTGTGGCTCTGAGCGTGGTGTGTGTAGGGGGTGCAGTGGGGCAGCTGCCCACGGTGAAGGGGCTTTGGTACCCGCAGTGACAGTCTCTGGTGGTGGACGTGACTGTCAGAGAGCCTCGTGGGTGGTGAGACAGGAAAGTTTCCTTCACACCAGCATGAACAGAGCAGAACCTGAACTGGCCAGTTATTTTACCAGCTCAGGCTCAGAGGGTCGTTTTACCTCACTCCCAGTGTCAGGTGTGCATTTCTCATCTCACCTTCAAAAAACTTCCTTCCTGCTTCTGAACTGAGAGGTACAACCATTTAGGCCAGAACAACTTCTCAACCACGGCAGTATCCCTTTTTCCAAACACCACACATTCTAGCAGGCTGCCTCACCAAACTACCCAACTCTCCTTAAACAGCAACAGCCCAGAAAAAAGCAAACAAATCATTAATGCCACTTTATAACATGCCAATCCACCTTCTGGAGCTAAGAAGGATTTGGGGTTGAATTAATATTCCCATAACAAGTTCATAACAACTGCCCTGAGGAGATTTCACTTCATTTTCCAGGATTGTATCCTGAAACAATTGTGGCCTTCTGGGCATTGAAGTCCAGTTATGGATGGAATAGATTTGCTCAGAAGAAACTGGGCAACCAATAGCCTAATCAGTTACCTAACGAAGGCTAATCCTCTGGGATTTCCTATAATAAAGAAGGATTCTGCAGAGGGAAGATGTTCAGCCTAAGCCAAGCTCAGATGGAATCAATGCAGCCTGAGTGCAGTGTCTCTCAGATCCCAATACAGCTGTGTGTCCCTCCATAGGCATAAAATCAGCACTCTAATGCATTTTGAGTTGCAAAGAGGCACCAAAAAAATCCCCATAATCTGGTAGATACAATGTCCTGGAGAATCTTTCCCATTCCTGAGGGTGCCAGAGGACATGGACTTGAACAAAAAGCAGACTCATGTCTTTTGAGCACCTGATCCATATTTTCTTGATCTGAAAACCGAGCACTAGAGATGCAGATTTAAATACACCTTTACTTTTTTTTAAGGTACCAGATCCCTCACACAGAGCTGATTCCAAGCCACAGTCATGGTGTAATCCTGCTATTGTACCATTTTGTCCTGGTTCTGACCAGGACAGGGCAAATTTTAGCCAGGGTTAATTTTTTTCTTAATTTTTTTTTATCATCTCCAGGTAGATGATACAGATGTTCAGGAGAGGGTTCAATTTAGAAGATACAGTAGCCAGGAAAGGGCAGAGCCAGCACTCAGGGGTTATTCTCTGCCACCACATCGGCAGCGGGCAAGGGACAGGCTCAGTCTTTCTGACAGGGATCAGTCTCAAAATCACAGAACTCTCCACCACAGAAAAACATCTCTGCTGTTTGTGTCACCCAACACATCCCCCAAAACCAACATTCAAATAGTCAAGAGTGACACTGGCCCCGGGTAAGGGGATACCCAGCACATTTACATCCCTGCACCTGCCCTGCTGCCCAGAGCAGAAGCAGCAGCAGCAGCAGCAGCAGCAGCAGCAGCAGCAGCAGCAGCAGCAGCAGCAGCAGCAGCAGCAGCTCTCTCAAGCTCCTCTTGCCACCCCTGACACTCCACAACAGCAGCCACTGACCGACCTCAGGCTCTGCTGCCACAGCCCCTTGGCCAGCACAGCTCTGCTCCCCAGCTCGCAGCATGGAAGCTTGTCACTCTTCCCAGCAATCCAATGTCACTTCATATGGGGTCATGGCTTTGGCCATCATGTCCCTGGAGGTGTTTGCTGGCATGTGGATAAATGCTTTCATCATTTGTGTGCTTTGCATTACCTGGGTGAAAAAGAAAACCCTGAACTCTAATGAGAAGATCTTGCTGCTGCTGGGATGCTCCAGGTTTTGCTATTTATGCATCACATGGGTATATAAATTCCTTTCATTTATTTATCCCAATTGCCTTTATGTTCAACCCACATTTCAAGGAATTATATTTCTTCAAAGTTTTTTTACTTGTTCCAACTTGTGGGTTTCAGCCTGCCTTTCTGTTTTTTATTGTATAAAGATTGCCAATTTCAGGAACCGGTTCTTCATCTACCTGAAAGTAAAAACAGACCGGATTGTACCCCGGCTTTTGTTGGCATCATTGCTCTCAGCCTTGGTTATCAGCATCATTGCCTGTGACTTGGCTGTTACAAGGCTCAGGAACAGCCACAATTCCACCGGGCAAGGAAATTCTTCAAAACTAAGTGGCGAAATGGATGAAATTTTTTTCCAGACATACTTAATCTATGGCTTTGGATTTGCCATTTCTTTCACAGCAGTCATCTGTTCTACCCTTCTCCTTCTCTTTTCTCTTTGGAGACACAAATGCAAGATGCAGAAAAACTCCATGAACAGCCTCAGCGTGGATGCCCACATCAAAGCAATGAAATCTATTCTCTCCTTTTTTATAATATATAGTATGAACTTTATGTTTTTGATCCTGTCACGAAATAAGTCAACAAATGGAGGAAATTATGTAATGTTTCTTAGTTTAATATTTCTGTGTGCTTTTCCAAGTGTTCATTCCCTTATTCTGATTTTCAGCAATCCCAAGATGGAAAAGACGCTGATAAAGATTCTATGCTGTGTGAAGTGCAAGCTTTGCATAAGGTAGAAACTATAACATATGGTGGAGCCCACACAAAATCTTGATATTTCACTATAAGACAAAAGTCAGTTTATCTTTAATGCAACTCTCTGGGCAGTGTAGATGATACAGATGTTCTCTCTTTACCACCAAATTTAAGAATAAATCATCCAAATTCTTTGAACCGAATTAGTATGACTTAGACTATTGCTAGTATTGCATTTTAGTAATTCTCAGAGTTCAATTCTTGTCAATAACACATTCATTTAGACTTGGTAGATGGGCTGGGTGCAAAGGGGCAATAAGAGTGCTGCAAACCTTCCTCAAACGCTTTGGCATTTGCTGATTGAAAAATGACTGTACTCAGCATCAGCTTTATTTATGTTTGGGTTTACATTTCTTTCTGCTGTGTCTCTGTTTTTTGTAATATTACCACTTGTAACACTGGGTAGGGTGGCTGTACCTTGGAGAACTGCAGTCTGAGGAGCACCCATATTGGAGACATCTGATCCTGAAGGACTGCAGCCCACAGCTGGGGTCCACAGTCTAGCAGGGAAAAGAGTGTGAAGAGGAAGGAGTGGAAGAGAAAACTTTTTATGGACTGACTGCAACCCCTATTCAACTGCACCTCGTTGGGGAGGAGGTGGAGAAGCTGGGAATGAAAGAGTGAATTTTGAACTGTGATGAAGAAGGGTGGAAGGGATAGTACCCTAATTTTGTGCTTGTTCCTCACCATCCTACTCTATATTCAAACAGCAATAAATTAAAATAATTTTTTGAAATTAGAGTCTGTTTTCTCCATGACAGTAACTGGTGGGTGATCTCCCTGTCCTTACCTCAACCCATGAGCTTTTCCTTCTTCTATTTTCCCTCTTGTCCTGTTGCAGAGCAAGAGTGAAGAAGAGGCCGGGTGGAGGGTCTGGCAGGTGACCAACTTTAACAATCCACAGCAGGTCATGTAACTATTAAATTATTCCAACATCAACTGGACATGATCCAACTGTTCATTTCTTTCACCTGCTCTGGCTCAGAGGGACAATTTACTGCCTGCTCAGTGACAGGCATGTTTTTTTTCATATTACCACCTTCAAAAAGATTCACTCCTGTACATGAAATGAGAGAAACAACCCTTTAAAGCAGAGTAACATCTTAATCACTACAGTATTTCCTTTTCTCAAGACCACAGAGTCTCCACAGGGGGTGGTAGGTACAAAGTCTTGGTGAATCTCTCCCCTTCTCCAATGACACTGGAGGGGATGGCTTTGAACTAAGAGCAGAGCCTGTGTTTTAAAGACCTAATCCACACATTCCATGCATTGAAAACCTGGTATTTGAGACTCTGATATTTTGTTTTCAAGGGGCCAGATTCCCCATGCAGACCTGAGCCCAAAATTCAGCCATGGTGTGGTCTGGCACAGTCCCAGCACAGACAATTCAACTACACACCAGTTGTGATAGAAATAACTAATATTGTATTCACAAGGATGTGGAGAGAAGAAGAAAGAAGAAAACAAGGAAACAAACTAGGAAAAAACTCAACAACCTCACGGAGTGTTTTCCATTCATTTAGCAAAAGAGGAGGAAACTCACATCAAAGCCTTAAGCGGAGAACAGCACTATCAGGAAATCAAAAATTCTCTCAAGGCAATAGTCTGCCCATCATAAATGTAAAAAATAACAAAAGAAATAACACTTAAAAATGAATGCAATCAGAAATTAAATGGGACAGAGTAGGTGACAAAGGAATAGAAGAACCCCGATCCTGAATCCTGACACTGATCAAACAGGGATCAGTCTCAAAATCACAGATGTCTCCACCACAGAAAAACATCTCCACTGTTGGTGTCACCCAACACACCCCCCAAAACCAACATTCAAATAGTCAAGAGTGACACTGGCCCCGGGTAAGGGGATACCCAGCACATTTACATCCCTGCACCTGCCCTGCTGCCCAGAGCAGCAGCACCAAAATCCCCCCCAGCAGCAGCAGCAGCAGCAGCAGCAGCAGCAGCAGCAGCAGCTCTCTCAAGCTCCTCTTGCCACCCCTGACACTCCACAACAGCAGCCACTGACCAGCCTCAGGCTCTGCTGCCACAGCCCCTTGGCCAGCACAGCTCTGCTCCCCAGCTCGCAGCATGGAAGCTTGTCACTCTTCCCAGCAATCCAATGTCACTTCATATGGGGTCACAACTGTGGCCATCATCTCCCTGGAGGCATTTCCTGGCATGTGGATAAATGCTTTCATCATTTGTGTGCTTTGCATTGCCTGGATCAAAAAGAAAACCCTGAACTCTAATGAGAAGATCTTGCTGCTGCTGGGATGCTCCAGGTTTTGCTATTTATGCATCACATGGGTATATAAATTCCTTTCATTTATTTATCCCAATTACCTTTATGTTTCCACCATACTTGAACTAGTTATATTTTTTCAAACCTTTTTTGATAATTGCAACTTGTGGTTTTCTGCCTGTCTTTGTGTTTTTTATTGTATGAAAATTGCCAATTTCAGGAACAGGTCCTTCATCTACCTGAAAGTAAAAATTGACAGGATGATGCCGTGGCTTTTATTTGGGTCAGGGATTTTAGCTTCGGTTGCCGGCATAGTTGCCTATGACATCGCTTCCAAACCGCACTGCAACAACAGCAGTTCCACTGGACAAGGTAATTTTGGGACAGCAATTATCAAAATGGATAAACATTTTTTCCCTTCTTTTTTTCTCGCTGGCTTTGAATATGCTGTTTCATTCATGGCAGTCATCTTTTCTGCTGTTTTCCTTCTCTTTTCGCTCTGGAGACACAAGCGCAAGATGCAGACAAACTCCATGAACAGCCTCAGCATGGATGCCCACATCAGAGCCATGAAATCTGTTCTCTCCTTCTTAGTGATGTACAGCATCAACTTTGTATGTTTTGTCTTAAGTATGGTTTATGTCACAAGGAAGGGAAATTATATGACAGTTCTCATTGTAGTATTTCAGTACACTTTTGCGGGTCTTCACTCCCTTATTCTGGTTTTCAGCAATCCCAAGCTGGAAAAGACACTACTAAAGATTCTTTCCTTAGAAAGAAGTGTATAGCTCAAGGTTTGCATGAGTTAGAAACTAGAATAAAATCTGGAACGCATTCAAAATGATAATATTTCATTATAGAAAACAAGTTGTTTAATCTCTAATGTAACTCTCCAAGCATTGTAGATGATACAAATGTTCTCATCACTGATATTAAGAATATATAATTCAAATACTATGACCTAAATTAATGTGACTTACATAATATATTTTGAATTATAATTTCATGTAGGTAATTCTTTGAGTCCAATTATTGCCAGTAACAAAGTTATGTAGACCTGGTACAGGAGCTGGCTGTAAAAGGGCAATAATAATACTGCAAACCGGCCACCAAATGCTCTGGCATTTTCTCATAGAAACAACTGAAAGGGTTTACCTCTATTTTAGTTTACCTTTCCTTCTGCCGTGGCCCTGTGCTGTGTGGTGTATTATGGGCTGTATCCCTGTCTGGCAGTGGCTGATAGCTCTGTGAGAACTCACCAGGGCTGGTCCCTGACCCCCAAACAGCCAGGCAGGAACGGCCCCGGGGAGCTCAGGGGGTGCTGAGCCTCCGGCCCACTCCAGCCCTGCGTTCCTCTGTGCCCACTGCCTGCAAGGACAGGATTGCCTGCTCCGTGTCACTGCTCTCCTGGCCTGACCTGCAGATGAGATTGGCTTTTCCCAGTGCACTCTGCCTCAGTGGAACACCCAGGTTTTGTTCTGTATCAGGAACAGCATGAAAAGGGAGTGGAGGAGACAACTCACTATGAACTGACTGCACTTTCATTTTCCTTCCCCCTGTGCTGCTGTGGGGGAGGAGGTGGAGGAGCTGGGGATGAAGGAGTGAAGTTGAGCCTCAGATGAAAGGGTGGTGGAGGCAGCGGGTTCTAGTTTGTGTTTGTTTCTCATCATTGTACTGTACTTTCAGTAGGTAAATAAATTCATTTTCTGCACATCAAGTCTGTTTTGTCTGTGGCAGTACCTGGTGAGTGATTTTACTGTCTTTATCTTTATCCATCAGCTTTTCCATCCTATTTTCACCTCGTTTATGGGTGACAGTGAAGGAGCAGCTGGGTTGGCATCTGGCTGCTCCCTAAGGTCAACCCACCACAGCACAGCAGGTGAAACATGCAGAACAGAGCAGTACCTGAACTGGTCACTTCGACCACCAGCTCAGCTCCAAAGGCACATGGTAAGCATCTCTTCTGGACACATCTCCCCTGTGAAAGGCCTTCAAAGGACAGGAACAGCCACACCTCCCTTCTTCCCCTGCTGCTGCTCATGAACATCCCTGACCACTTTCACAGGAAAGCCCTGGAAGATCCATCTATTCCCTACATTCAGTGCAACATCCATCCCTCACAACCTCACATACCGCAAGACTTAGCAGGAAAATCCAGCACCTTGCAGATGTCACCACACAAAACACCACAGCCCCAGCAAACCACACAGGGGTCCCTCCTTGCATCCCCTGAAACCCCTGAGAATGTGACACCCAGCTCAGAATCCCTGTCCTGTGCACCAGCCCCACTCAGCTGGCACTGGAGGGGACAGGGTGTCCATCAGCACAGCCGCCCTGCACAGCCCATGGGGACAGATGCAGGATGTGCCCAGCCCAGGGAAGCTGACACATGAGAGATGTCAGAAGTCAATGAGAGTGGCTGCCCAGTGCTGACATGGTATGGAAAACTGCTCTGGGTCACAATCCAAATTTTATGACTGAGAAGTGAAAATGTTAAAAATGCTTTCGCCATAGAAAAGCACTGATGAGCAGAAGCAGAGCTCAGGACCAGTTGCACACCACTCCTACTTGCAGAAACATAAAAATGCCTGGGGGCAATGCTCAAAAAAAGGCAGCGCTCCAATACCCTTGGCAGTCACAGCTGTTTGAAAGCAGCAAGGAAGAAGCACATTTTCCCTTTTGCTGGGCCAGGAATGGAAGATTCAGGCTGTTTGGATTCATGTGTCCAGTGAAAGCTCAACATTAATATCTCAGCTTCATCCAGAAGAAGCAACTACATCCCACTTCCAAAAAAAGAGACAGGAATCACTAGAGGCTGCAAGTCCATCTGGAGTCTCCTGGTTGACTCAGGGACAGAAGCAAAGAAGCAAAGGCCACACAGACATCAGCAGAGCAAGCAGAACTAAAGCCCAAGATGCTTTTGTGAATCAGGTGGCATCAAGACTAATTTTTCCCGGACAATATGGGTAACTGCTGGCATTGCAGTGATTTAGAGTATTGGTATGTTTAAACATATTCTTCAGTTGTTTTTATTTTTGAGATCAGATACATAGAAATACACAGAGAGGCTGAAGCACTTTTAGCTCTTAAGAAGATTGTTTACAGTTTATCTGTAAGGATGCACTCTTGTAGCCTTCTTCTTCTTCTTCCATTCACCTGAATATCACACTGCAGATCCACCTGAAGTTTGCCAGTGCCTTTGTTCTGCATTGCAAGCACTCAGAGGCACCAAACAGGCACGGCACACTACTGCTTCCCCTTTTTTTTCACATTTTTCTTTAGAATAGAGGCCGTACACTTCTCCCAAAAACATGGTGGATTTTTCTTAAGCTCTTCTTTCTTGAGTTCCCAGTCTTCATCTCTCTGGTCTAAGGGGATTTTTCTCAGTTCAGCTTCCCTGCGGTAGTTCCTGCTCTCCACCTCTGCTCTGGGAGAGAAACCGAGAGTGAGCACAGCACACACACATCTCTGTTCACAGGGGCCCATCCACAGGGTCAGGGCTTGTGTCTTGGTCTGGTCAAAACCCTGATGCCACCAACACTTGAGAAACACCACAGTGTGCCCAGCGTGGTACAGCCCCAACCTCCCCTCCCAGGGACCCCCCTGAGCCCCAGCACTGCCTGGATCCAGACATGGACATTCCATGTGTAAACCTTGCCCAGGAGAAGACAAAGTCTTTCTTCCTCCTGCTGGGCTCTGATTTTGTATCAGGAAAAATCCTTTTTTTCTGTAATAGAATATTTCTGTCATATGGGTGCAATGCTGACAACACAGAGCAAAGCCAGCAGCTCCATATTGATGGATTTCATCACATGGACCATGGGCTTTCTATGTCATAGAATCACAGAATGCTTTGGGTTGGAAGGGACCTTAGACATTATCTCATTCCATACCTTCTGCCATGGACAGGGACACCTTTCTCTACACCTGGCTTCTCCAAGCCCTGTCCAGCTTGGCCTTGAACACTTCCAGGGATGGGGCAGCCACAGCTCCTCTGGACAACCTGTGCCAGGGCCTCACCACCCTCACAGTCAATAATTTATTCCTAATATATCTAATCCTACCTACCCAGGCCATTCCCTTTTGTCCATGCCCTTGTCCAAAGTCCCTCTCCAGCTGTCTTGTAGGCTCTCTTCAGGTACTGAAAGGTGCTCTAAGGTATAGCCTGTGTTTGAGAGTGGTGGTTGATGCCCCATGGCTGCTAGTGCTTATGAGACATTTGGAAAATGCCCTTCATAAGATGCTCTAAATTCTGGTCAGTCCTGAAGTGGTCAGGCCATAGGACTAGCAGTAGGTCCCTTCTAACTGAACTACCCTATTGTCTTCTATTAAGTGTCTGCTCCCAAGGGCAAGAAACCTTGTTCTAGAAACTTTTAAATAAAAACATTTATTTATTTATTTATTTACATGTGAGTATATATATGCCCTGGTCTTAGACAGCAGGACCCTTAGGTTGGCAGCAGACACAGGCTGAGGGTCTCTGTGCCATTCTTGGCAGGTCTCATAGCATCAAGAGTAAAGCCCTTCTCATGCAGGCCAAATCTAATGCAAAATATGCATTTGCTATTCAGAAGCAGCTGTTTTGAAAGCAGCTGTTTCCTAACTTTTGCATGTTCATGCAAACCTCAGTGAGTGGTACTGATACTCAGCAGCGGAATATTCCTAATATTTGCATGTTAATAATATTTCCATGTTGATACATGTAATATTTCCACGTGGGTGCAGTCTTCAGCACAATTCAGTGGCCCATCCCAGGCAGGCAGTTCATGCAGCTGGCAACGCCTGGGGACCAACAAACAGCATGCAAGGGTCATGTGGTGCTAGAGGGGGCTGAATTTGGATTCAGGAAGCATTTGAATTCTCATATGCCTGTGCAGATATGCACATCAGCGCTGAAGTTGGTGCAGACCCTCAGATGATTTTAAAAATTGCCTTTTCTCTCTTTTTGCATGGCAGGCAAATATCCAAAACTGACAGGGATGATGTGTAACAAAATGTTCCTCATATTTATATCCCACAGACACCACTGAGTGGAGGGCAGACCTGCTCTGTGCTGAGCAGCATTTTGTGCAAGCACACTCTTAATTCTCTGTCTGCAGCATACACAGTACTGCCTTGTACCCTTTGGCACTGCCTGACCCTGGACATCACCTCTGGGACCTTCTGCATATCTAAATAAACAGTCAGTAATCAAAATTACACTACAAGTGGCAACTGTTCTTCCTAGTTTATTCCAAGTTTGCTGATGTGAGGCCAGTGTATGAGGGTGAAAGCATCCACTGTGGTCATAAATTATAGTGGCTGGTTTTAAAAAGTATTTCTGAGCCTTAGTGATAAACTCTTGGCTGCCCACAGGCTGGGTTATGGCCATGAGGTAATTGTACAGGCTTTGTGCATATTATAAAATGTTCTAGACTAGACATTTGAAGCATCTTCCTAATCATTAGATCTCCCAGCCATGCTGAGCCATGCAGCTATGGGGTGAGTCAGGCCAGCATGTGGTTCTGAAAGACAGGTTTTCCACCTTAAATCAGTCATTCACCTCAGAAAGGCCTTCATCAGCTGACCTCAGTCACCACAGGCTGTTGCTAAGGTATCTCAGACCAGGATGTCAATCATTCTGTCAATCAACCTGTCAGTCATTCTCCCAGGCACCTCTGCCTGCCACAGGCATTGCCCTTTGGCATCATCCAGGCAATTCCCCTACCCCTGCTGTCAGCTTGCTCCCATGGCTCTGGAGCACATCCAGGGCACAGCAAATGTTACAGACCTGGCAGGAATTACTGGTGAGATTAGTGCAAAAAAACAGCATAGACTAGGCAAGTAATTGCTACAAATTATTCATCCAGGGGCAGAAGTCTGCAGACTTTCACCCTGTAGGTTAGATAATATTTACTTGTTCTGATATAGAAATTAAATATGCCAAGAGCTGAGAAGAGTATAAAGAGAATCTCTACTGGAAGACAATGCCCCATTCTCAAAGATCTGGCAGACCTGAGCTTTGCTACCTAGACACTAGCTAGGTAGTAAGAAAATCTAATTTGCAAAGCTTCATTATTAGCTGCTGATTGCCTAAATGCCTTTAAACTGAAGGTCTGAGAGTAAGAAGAGCTGATACATCTGTGTGGAATAAAAGTGACAAACAGTGGGAGATTACAGCATGTCAGTTCCAAAACCAAAGAGACTTTAGCTCCAAGATGGTCTGGATGCCCCATTCTGGCAGTGTTCAGTTCCATCACATTGGAAAGGGCTTTGAGCAATCTGGTCTAGTGGAAGGGGTCCCTGTCCATGGTAAGGGGTAGAAGGAGATGAGCTTAAGGTCCCTTCCGCCCATTCTATGATTCTGTGTTGGGTGGGCAGGTAAAATGCAAAGCTATCAGCAGCTTCCGACAGCCAGAGCTTGGAAACCAGAGCTTGTGCCTCTCCCACAAAGTTTTCTGGGCTCTGTACAGGGGATTTTCGCACAGTTTGGTTGTCTTTTCTTATGGAAGGACTCAGATGTGTCAAGATAAAAGGTGGACACGGGACGTTTCAGCAGGAACCAAGCTGAAGAAGTACAGGAGAAGGACAGCAGTACCTATAGAAAAGTTTATATGGATTAATGAAAAGTGGCATTTGTAAGGCACTGATTTGCCTGTCACCATGCCTGATTTCAAACTTGGTAGTTTGTGTGCTGCACTGGCAAACTGAAGACTTTGAATTGGTTAAATGGCTATAAAAAATATGGGATATACATGGTACCAAAGCAGTCTTGAGAATGTGGAAGTGGTAAAAGAGATGACAGTGAAGGATGATGATGGGACTATAAAGTCACAGAAAAACCAAGGGAGAAAACAGTTTTGGGAGCTCTCAGCACTCCAGGGTCTGGCACATAGATCTTTCAGGGGCAGTATTTAAGTAAAGCTGTATTAGGACTGTGGTTTGCACTGAACAAGCTGGTTGGCCTCTGGTGATCTGTCCCACTCCTTTAGAGAGATGCAGGATGGGACACAGCTCAAACCTCTGCCATACAGCATCCTGATCCAGGGAAACACCTTTGCAAGGATGAAAATACCCATGAGCTGAGTCAACAGCTGAAAAACAGGAATGGTAATTGGGAACCATTAAAAAGCATATTTCTTATGGCATGTGCTGCTACAGTGCTAACTGTAAGCAGTTAAGACAACACAGATTTTCCCAAAATTTGGAAGTATTATGTGACCATCCTATTAAGTGGTCTAATGTGGAGTTGTGTTATTTTATGTTTTATTACATTTATATTCTGGGAGAGGATGCGGCAGTCTAATTTACAGTGATTAGGTAAAAAATAGGGTAGCTATTTTTTTTTACTGTAAGAAAAGCCAAATGATATACATATAAATATATATACATACACAGACATACACAACTGCTGAGAGCTTCTCCTAAACATCTCAACCCGTGTATTTGCTATTCACCACTGTAAGGGGTTAACACTTCTCAGTTGTTGCTTTAATTTCTGTTGCTTAATAACGGCTCTGCAACATCCTTACAAAAACAATGATGTCATGAAGTGGTAACGATTTTGAAAACATACCGAGGGAAACCGCAGGCGGCAGAGGAATAAAAGAATGTCTTCTCACGGCTTCCCCGTGACAGTCCCGTGTTTGCTCATCCACTACAGCTTGTGTGTCAGGGCTTTAGCAGGTTTTGGGTGGAAGATAAGTAACACACTGTGTGTGTTCTGGTCCTCTGTGGAGAAGTGAGGTTAATTTTCACTGCAGCCGCAGCGGGACCTGCCACCACTACTCACTTTTCCAAGAATTTGGAGCACTCCCGGTGTCCGTAGATCTCCGCGAACCTCCGGGGAGTGTCTCCGAAGAGGTCGGCGGCATCCATAGCAGCGTGCAGGGAGTGGAGGGCGCGGAGCACCCGCAGCTTCCCCGCCTCGGCAGCGAAGTGAGCCGCGGTCCAGCCCACATCGCTCCGCAGGCAGTGCCGGGCACCGTGATCCACCAGGAGCCTGACCAAGTCCGACCGCCCTGGAAACGCGCATCAAAACCAGGAGAGAAGATGCTTTAGAATTTATACCTTCAGGATGCAGAAGGCGGTCACATACAGCTAGTCATAATTCCCTCAGACACGGATTTCACCCACCTGACTATTTGGTTTATCATATCTATGATGCTGGATAGAAAATGCTGGTTATTTTCTCCCAAACTAGACTGTTTCCAGAAGAAATTTACAACGAAAACAACAGCCAAATCAAAAAGCTTTCTAATTTCTGAACAGCACATCTCAATTAGTCATTGACCAATTGGCTATTGCACTGCTTCATTTTCATTTTTAGTTCAATTGCAAAATAAAATTTAAACATTAAGAATGGGAAAACCTGTGAACAACTTTACTAAAGCAAAGGGGTTTTTGGATAGCAGGTAGAGAAACTAGCTTTTTCATTCACCTTCACATTTTTCTAGCCAGTGGAATTGCTCAAAGAAGCAAAAAAAAAAAGGTATTTTTACAGCACTTCATACTGCCTTGACTGAGCTAGACTATTCCAAATCACATCTAGGCTTCTCATCAGCTTCTCACCATCCTTTTTGTTAAGTAGCTCGGTCCCTTTTGCTGATGTTTAAATGCCTAATAATCCATTAGGACAAAAGAAAAACATGGTCTTAAGTGTAAAACAGGAAATCACACACTTGATTTCTGAGCAGAGACACGTCATGAGATCCCATCAAGTACTGTAGCACAGCCAAGTAGAGGTCCAGTTTCCCATTTTATACAGTGTACAATTATACATTATTTATTGTTGCATCATCTCTTTTTTGGGCTGCAAAGGGATATCTGAGTTTACCAGACACTTCTGAAGGTGAAGGATCATATGGGAGCTGCAAACAGCTCTGGATCTGCATTGTTCATTAAAACAGGTGGGATATAAAGAGCAATGTAAAAACACAGTTATTATTTTGTTCTATTAGGTTTGATAAATACCTGGTGTAAATATAGTGGGTTTGACTTCCTGCTCTTTCCCACAGGTGTACATGAGAAATAAACTCATGGAGTCATCTCTTAGAAAAGTAAAGGGGGAAAAGCAGCCATTCCCTATGTGCACATCATGTAAATTGCAAGTTGTTGTGTGATGGGGAAAAAAAAAAAAAAAGTTAAAAATCACTTCAACATCAGTCCTATAAACTATTTTGTAGGCAAAGTTCCCATTTAAATGGATATTTAACCTTTTTTTTTGCTCATTAGGGACAATATTACCAAATACAAGCTGAGATTTTGCCAGCCTAGATACAATCACAGGTGATCAGCATCACCTTTTATGATGTGCATTCACAGAGTAGCAGAGCTGGGGGTGTTCTCACCTTTGGCAGCAGCCCAGTGCAGGGGGGTCCTGTCATGCCAGTCAACATCCTTCTGGTTTGGGTCACAGCGCCCTGCCTTCAAAATCTCTTTCACCCAGTCATAGTCGCCCACAGCCACAGCTTCGTGGAGCTCTGTCATGCTGCACTCTTCAGGAAGGCAGCTGGTAACAGAGGGATGGTCGTTCTGTGGGTGTTCACTGGTGTATCAGCTCCTCTCAGCAGCTTTAATAGGTCAAGCAGCACCTGGATTAAAAATGAGACAGGCACAGTGAGAAACCAAGATTTGTCCAAAAATAAGGAAAAAGGAATGTTGGGGGGAAAAAAAATTAATTTATCTTCAAATCAGTGATCACAGAGTGATGGTGACTTTTGGTCTGTAGTCACAGAAATCTGCAGCAAAATGCAGTCCTTTATATAAAGGACTTGTAGCTAAAGCCACATTGAACATTTGCCATGGGTTTGTTGTGCTCACTAACCATGGGAACTGGCTCCACCCTTGCCACTGGTGCAGGTTTCTTACTGGTAGCATTCTATTGCAACGACAGAAACATCTATGCAAGCATCCTCTGATGTTCTTTGCTGAAAATGATAAAAAGGGATAATAATAATTAAGCTTATAGAAAGAGATGTTAGGGCTAGGACGAATGGTCTTAAACTAAGAATCACAGCCTGTTTCACACCTGGGTGGTTGGACTGTGAAGATAAGATCCAAAAGAAAGACTCATATTTGTCTTCTACTGAGTTTGACTCCTGCACATCTGGGAAAATCTGAATATATTAAAAAGAAAATTAAATTTTGGAGTCCCTAGTCAGCCAACCAAGTATTATGGGATCTCTGTTACTCTAGCCACCTGTGTACTGCTTCTTTCTCCTCATTGTCTCTCACTAACCTTAAAGAATCTGTTCCTTTAGATTAAAAAGAGATCTTGACTTGTTCTCCAACACGTTTCAACAGCATCAAATCTATCCTGAAAATGCCAAACTTTAATGCATACAGCCCATCACTGAAATGAGGGCTGGACAAAAGTACAGGAGAAAAAAATCTTGGACCTTTTCATACAACTTTCTTATTCTTTTCCTCGTGAGCTTCAGCTCATACCCACGCCCAAAGGGAAGGGAAGCTGCTGATCCCGAGGCAGGAGCTCAGCAGCTCTCCAAGGGGACAGTCCAAGCAATTCAAGCCAAGCCAAATTCTACCTCCCCTCCTCCTCTGCTGCCTCCCTTTGCTGGCCTTGAAGTTCATACGGGCATTTCACAGCTGTTGATATCTCACAAAATTAATCTTTTATTACTGGTGCTAAATTAATCTTTTATTATTGTTTTTCAGGTGAATTCCCTGAATTCAGCATTACTGACGGGGCAAACTCCAGGACTATGCAAAGCGGGGTGAGCACAGATCTGCCCCACAAGTAGGGACCTGTGCTAAATCCCCCTTCAGCCACCCCAGATGTCGTACCCAAAAGGGGGGATCTGTCTCCCTAGACTGTGGTTATCCCTTTCTCAACAGGACAGAGGAAAAGATATGTATTTTTACAGCACAACCTTGAGCCAAAGCGCCATCCCCCGCTGCTCACCCGGCCATGAGCATTGCAGCTCCTCCGCGGGGTGTTGCAATCATCCGGGGGAATTTTCTCGTGGGGTTCCTGTGCCTGACCCAGCCCCAGCCGGGAGATACCGAACTCACAGAGGAGCCCCCACACGTCCCCGTCCCTCCGCACCGGGCCCGGCCCAGCACCGGAGGCCGCGACTCCGATGGGAGGCGCCCGCTGGGCTGGGCATGTTTTCCAGGCCCAGAGAAGATTTCTCCCAGCAAGATTGTCTCAGATGGAAACTAAGGCAAAGTTTGGTCCCTCCCCTTCGGGGAGAGCCCGGCAGTCGCTGTGCCTGCGGCAGAGGCGGCCTGCGGAGGGAGCCGGCGCTGCTGGCCGGGCTGCGGAGGGCCGTGGGCGGCCGGAGGGGACGGCCTGCTCCTCTGGACAGCGGGCCGGGAGCGGGGGGCGGCCGGGACACCGCACAACAGGTACGCCAAGGCCTGCAGAGAGAAAAAAACCGATCTGGGGGGAGCACGGGAGGAGCAATGGTGACGTGAGGAGAATTTCTAGGAGTTGAGTAATTTCTGCGCAGCACCTCACGCAGCTTCACTGCTCCCACTCGCTGTCCCCAGCCCTCGAGGGATCGCGCTCCTCGGCTTCTTTCCTTCCTTTCCTTCCTTCCCCTTATCCGACCCCAAATCCCTGCGGAAGGGTGGGATTCACTCCGGGTAACGGGGGACGTGTCCCTTCGCCTGTCCGTGTGTGGGCAGCATTCAGGGAAATATAACCCACCTCCCGACACGGCAGCAGTCCCAGGCTGCAGCAGGGAGAACTCTGCCTAGATGGAAGAGGAAAATATAATTCACAGCGAGGGTGATTAAACTGTGCTTCGGGTGTCCAGCACTGAGACATGCAGAGCTGAGGCAGCCCCATGTGTGCCCTGCTTTGAGCAGGGGTGTGGATTAGGTGACTTCCAGCGTTCCTTCCCCACCTGTAATCTTCTGGGAAGCTGAGAGGGACAAGGTGTAGGATGTTTGAGTGCTCTTCCAGCATAGTATTCATCTTCTCCAAACCTAGCATCCTCCATACATGCACGGGATCCTGTGCCCCAGCTGCTCTTGGAGATGGTGTGGAGAGAAGGTGGTTTTAGGATGTGGCTCCCCAGGTGTGTTTCAAGCTCAAGCTATGGTACAAGGGACAAGCTGAGGTCTGTCAGGCCAGCCACACGGACCCACCGGGACAGCCTGCCTGTACTTTTACCCTGTGACACAGCCATCCCAGCCTCTCCAGGAGCTGCAGGTGGTGGCTCCTCTGGGTAGGGATCAGGGGTGGTGGTGCTGCCTGGGCTTGCACTCATCAACCCCACTGACGTGTTCACAGCAGCCCAGAAACTGTGGTGATTTACTGCTGGGGACATGTGGGATCAAACTGTGGTGACACCCTGCTGGGGACATATGGGATCCCCTAACAGCAGCTCCAGGAGGAATGGGACACGCCCAGATCTCCGTCTCTCATTAATGGGTGGCCTCCCTTTCTCTGCCTGCTGGGAGTGAAATACTTTCTCTCTTCAAAATCAGTTGATACAAGGGAGGAAGAGACTGTTGTGCTTGCAGAGAAGTGAGAGGGGCTGATTCCCAGCAGGCAGGTTTCCCACTACAAAGTCCTGCTGCAGGCCCAAACCAGCAAGCAATGGGTCAGAAAAGATGCTTCCCTGCCTAAAATGGTGTATTTAAAAGCAGGGACAAGAGCTGGGGCTCTCATGTAAATGTTGACATAACTCTTAAGATAATAATCCCCCAGACCCAGTGAATATTGAAATGTTTTGGCTTCTGGGATGGGGACTAAGGTGATCCCTGGTGATGAGAAATGGCTCTTTGGTTTAATCTCCAGGGTCAGATCTGTCGGGGGGTGTATATAAAACATTATTCAGAGCTCAAAAAGGGGACAGTGACACTTCCATCTGCTGTGGAATTTCTTACTGGGGATTGCTGCAGAGATAAGCATGGGGAAGTGCCCTTCAGCAAGGCCATGAGGCCCTGACCTAGCCCAGGATATAGGACCATCACCCAAAAACGTGGGAATTGCCCAATTCCACCTTTGTCTCTTTCAGTCTCCATTCCATTTCCCATCTTCAGAAGGGGATGTACCATCCTTCCACAGTCCCAAGGCTCATGGTGACGTGCTGTCAGTGATTGACTGAGGTCAGCACTAAGCCACAGCAAAATTCGGATGGAAGCAGCCTTTAAAACATACAGATCGCTTGTTTACTGGGGAAAAAAATGGAGCTTAGATCAGTGAAAAGGCACACATTTGCATTTCAGTGACAGCCTCAGCCTTTTACACACTGCAGCACAACAGGCGTCAGTGTGAAGGACTCCTTGTCAGCTCCCCCACATTCCTCAGCCTCAGCTTCTCTACTTTGGCAGCCTTCAAATAAAGGGAAAGCCAAGGTCAGGAGAAAAAATAAAAGGGAAAAGAGAGAAAAAAATAACCCACTCAAACCTAAAACCAAAAGCCCTAGTAAAACCTCCTCTCCTGCTGCCCACTATCCAAGTGAGAGCTCCTGCCTGGAAATTGCTTGCTATTTGCCATTGCTTTTGCAACCCCGTTCTCCCCTTCTGGAGAAGCTGGTACCGGTGCACCTCCCAGCTCCTGGGACAGGCACATATGGAGGTGGAAGTGGCCAAGTTTTGTCAGGCATGGAGTGACTTTGCCCCATCACCAGCACCACCATCCTCTGTCCTGCAGCACCAGCTTCCACATGGAGATGTTGGGGCACCTGAGGAACATCAAGCCCACTTCAGAAGGTACAGGGAAGAAGCACAGTGACACCCAGGACCCCATCCTGTTACTCTCACATGCCTAAGTTCTCCTGCTGCAAGTCCCCAGAGCACTGGAGGGAAGAGTTTGAAGGACCTGGCCCAAAAATGGGCGATGTTGGATCGTATCCTTGTGCCAGTTCACACAGGCCCACAGAAGCTGTGCCAATTTATACTGACATTGGATCAGCCTTGGAATTTAACAAAAGCCTCCATGTTTATCCAAGTGTTGGGAAAGGCTGTCGGAGCTCCTTCCTGTGCCTTTTCAATCCCCAGCTCCAGAACTGCTGCAGGAAGCACCCAGCAGCAGCCACAGCACGTCAGCTCTGGAAAACAAACCTACACCCAGAAACTAAAGGCAAAAGCACTGTGGAACACGAGGAAGCCATCATTTTCCTGGTTGTAATCACCAGCAGGAATGTGGCTGTGCTGCTGGAACTTCCATTTTATCTGTTTATTGTACTTGAAACTGACCCAGCTCTGGTCAGGGATGTGTGAGTACGCCAGCTGCTAAAAACTGAGGAGCAGGACACTCATCTCAGGTCTAAGCTACTATACAACCAGCAGTTAAGAATTCCCAGACTTAAAACACACAACATACAAACACACAGCCTGATTCTTCAGAGAACATAAGGATTTGATTTCCAGTACCACAGGAGGAGAGCAGAGGTGATGAATGCTGCTATCCCATGTATTTCTAGGGAAATCAATTCCCACTGCTTAACAGTCTACAGGGTTTTTTATCTCCTGCTACAGATGCTGAAGGTGTGGCAGCACACTGAAGGTGCACAGATGAATGATAAAAAGTTGTTTCATACAAAAGGAATGGGCTGATGATGTAAACTGCAGAGGCTGACAGTCTGGAGGTTTGTTATTTCCTTTATGCAGTTCCTCCAAGGGCTGGACACACTGGGCAGAGCGGGAGTTTAGCATCTCAGTAGTAAAATGCCCTGCACAGTCACGGTGCTGTTAATTAAATTCCCCCAAAAGAGTAAAGCACAGCAGAAGCACTATTTTAACCTGCACCTGAATAAAGCACCTTCTAATTTTCCCAAGAAATAATGGCATTGTTCTAGACGAAAGGGAAGCTGGGAAGGTGTTTAAAAGGCTTTAGGTGTGAAACTTTTTTTTCAATTGCATTTCTTACCATAAGCAAGGTTAAGATGTTGTTGAGGTTATGATTACTGAAATAAATTCAAGTATAAACAGCAGCAGTAGGCAAAGGGTTTATCCACCTGTTTAGTGTCCTTTTCTAATATATATTATTCCTTTAGTAATTGTTCTGCTTAATACAGCTGGCTTATGAGATTGTGAAGAAATGTAAACATTCTGTTTGCCCTATAAAAACATGACATAATATTTGGTGACAGATTGTGGGCATGCAATACTTCCAAAATATACCTCACCTTTTTTGAACTTCTTCTGTTCAAAAAAGCCACACTAAGGCATCCACATCCAGAACTTTGACAGTAGCTGCACTCCAGCTCTTTGGATTTGGGATTGACACTCACAGCTCTGCTCCTAAACCTACTGCCAAATCCTTTCATAGCCCTGGGTAAGGGAAAGAGAGCATTCCTAGGATAAACATGTCACAACTCAGTAATAGCCTTCTAGCTAATAAAATAAAACAAAACCAGACTTACATAAGTTACCTAAAAACTTTTTAAAAGTTCTGAAAGGTGGCAAACAGGGCTTAAAAATCAGAATAAACTCAGAGAAATTATATCATAAAGCAGTCCACACATTTCTTCACAAACTAAAAAAACCCAACAGTTTTATTTTTTTCTTTTTTTATCAAAAGGGAACAAAGTTTCCAACAGCCCCTCCCTAACATGCTAAATGCAAAAGTTCCCCAAATCTGCAGTTATGATTAGATCAGCTTCTGCTCCAACATCTCCCCAGGTAGATCCTGGTCCATAAATGATCCCGAATGCTCATCTGGAACCCCACACAAGAAAGACACAACTCAAAGCATCAAACTTCTCTTTACAAGTTCACATGACAATATTTTTTTGTTTGTTTGTTTGTTTTTAATTTTGTTTTTTGGCTAAAACTTTCAAGAGTTCCAGAAACACAGTATTTGGCCTTCTTGTTTACTGCTGACCACCAGAAATCCCCACATTCCCTCCTTGTTCCTTGATATAAAAGGAAAACCCTTCTAGAAGTAACTCTGATTCCTGTGCATTCAACAGATGGAGGAACCAGGACAACCTCTTGGAAAAAGAGCAGCGAAGCAGCTAAACTCAGTCTTAAAACAGACACTTGGTTTGGGTTAAAACCCCTTCCAGCAGCTGCTATTAAGCTGCCAAGCACGTAAGCCTGACCTAAATCATCTCCTGCAACTGGGCAGAAACTTTTCCAAGCACATTCCAAAGGATGATGGAGATGCACTTTTAAGGATGAGGGAGCTGGGCTGGGGATGATGATAGAGCTGAGCATGTGTCCTGGGGTGACTTTATCATGCTGGTACCCCATCTGTCTCTTTAGCCCAGAAATAAGTTCTGCACCTTTAAAATTAGATCTGAGAGTGAAGCGGGGAAGAAGGAAAATTTGCCCTAAAGAAGGACAGCATGCCAGGAATGATGATGGAGCTGGGCACGTTGAGGATGATGATGGAGCTGAGCTGCTGGGCTGACAATGAAGCTGGGAATGTCACGGATGATGATGGAGCTGGGCCACTGGATGTATTCTCAGAGCAGTGGATATGTAAAGATAGTTCCTCTGCATGGATGAATGGAACCATTAGCTACAAAAGGGAGCCAGGAGCAGGTCAATACGACACTGGAAACACAGTTTCCTTTTGCGTGAATATCCCGTGGTGGCACGGCCGTGATCTTATCGGCGTGCGTGTCCCGTGAGGCAGGGCAGCAGCCCTAGGCGGCCAGGTCGAAGTCATCGCGCTCCTGGTTGTAGTCGAGCACCTTCTGCCGCAGGCGCGACGCGTCCACCCAGGTGATGAAGTCCTCGACGGCGCGGGGCACGAGGAGCGCGGGGTCCGTCACCACCTCGGGCCCCACGCGGACGTGGCCCTGCTCCACGAAGGTGACGGCGTGGCGCAGGTTCTGCGCCATGCGCAGCTTCACCAGCAGGCAGGGCAGGCGCCGGCGGCAGAAGGCGGCGGCCGAGAGGCTCTCGCAGACGGCCAGCGACTGCCGGCTGTTCACCAGCCCCAGCCCGTGCAGCTTCTCCAGCAGCGCGGCGGCGCAGCGGGCGCGGAAGGCGGCGCTGGCCGGGCCCAGGTCGCGGAGCCGCCGGGCCAGGGCGCGCACGGCGCGGGCCAGCGCCTTGTACTGCACGTAGTCCTCCCGCCGGCCCACTCGGTACCGCCGCAGCGCCCGCACCTCCGCCAAGTTCCCGCCCGACGCCTCCCAGTTCACCAGGTCCAGCCGCCGCAGCAGCTTCTGCTCGTGGTACTTCAGTTTCCGCACCATCTTCGCGGGACCGGGATCCGCCGCGCTGCTGCTGCAGAGGGACTTTTCCGGGGCGGAGCGGCCGCCGGCCCCGCGGCTTTTCCGGGGAGGAGCAGCCGTGACAAAGCACCGGGAGCCCCGCCCCGGGAGTGCTTCCTCGGCAGGCCCGCCCCGGGGGAGCCCAGCCGGGCAGCGGGGCACCGGGGAAGGATGGCTCCGTGTCTCCTTCCCCAAGGAGAAGGCGGCAAGTAGAGCCCAGCCCGGGATGCGGCTGCTTCCCCCCGCGCTCTGCGCATCGCCGGGGCCAGCCCGGCGCGGAGGGGTCAACCCAGGTACGGCCACATCGTCCCGACACCCGCTCCGGCACGGGCAGCCTGACCTTGTCTCGCCAGGGGCCGAGCCCGGCATTCGTCATTCCTGCTGGAAAAATGGCAGCGGCGTTGTGTTTCTCCGTGACATCCCACTCCCCCTGATGCACAGGCCGGTTTTCCTTGAGGAGCAGCAGAATCCTCTCTCTGTGCGGTTCGTAGCGCCGCAGATCTCCCGAGTGCCGCCGCGGCCTCACCAGCCAAAGGTTTCATCCCACTTTTCTGTAAGTGCACGGTGCTGTCTGCTCCTTGGGATTCAGGATACAACAACGAAAATCCCCAGTAGAACAGGTCAGATTGACAATTCGGGATTTTTTTGCTTCTCACGAGCAGACTTCTGTATTGTCTCAATCTTGATTTTCCTAATTCTAAATTTTCAGCGTGCTGGATTTGTTTCAGTGTGGGTGGTCTGGTCACAGAGGCCATGGTGGTCTCCTGATTTGCTTTGTGTTTTTCCCCGTTTGTCAGTGAAGTCACCAATGGAAATGTCGAGCACCAGCAGCACTGAGAAGTTTTACAGGATCCCTGAAGGAAAGGGACCACACTCGGTTGGATGTACAGACCTGATGACAGAAAATGCAGTTGAGGTAAAGCTTTCTACTCTTTCTCCTTTGGATTTAAGCCACAATATTAGTGAAATAACTGGCTGCAGTTTTAAAGCAGAAGGTCTTGCTTGTGTACTCCATGCTGACACTCACAGCTGAGCTTTTGATCCTCTCCATCCTGGTGTAGCATGTAAACTGGGCATTTACCATATGGATGTAACCTACAAGTCTTTCCCATGGCCAATTCCTCCCTCTTCTAATGTCCTTGCCTTTCTAACTCTCCTACACAAAATACTGCAGAGAAACTCTGTTCTCCTGGGACCTAGGGGGTTCTTCCCACCCACCCCACTGCTCCCTCCTGCGCTGGGCTCCTGAGGAGACTCCACACACAGTCTCTGTTTCTGTGGCTGTTCTCATCACAAAGATCCCAACTGGATTCGGCAGGGCTGGGAGATTAGCCTATGCAGTATTTCAGCTGCAGGGTAAAAGATGAGATGTCTTCTTGAGGTTTTATCTCACTGAAGATGAACAGGATGTCAGTTTGACAAGAAGTTAGCACAGTGAGAAGCCACTATAGTTACTGTTAGGGACAGTAACCAGACAAGTAATGAGCTTCCTTGTGAGCTTCCATTTCAAATCCTCTTGCCTTTGAGGGAATACACCTGCATTTACGCCGTGGTTTTACTCTGCAGAGTAGCCTGATGTAGTGGAACTTGTGATCAGTTTGTAATGGTTCATATGTTTTCCTTTACTGAGCTTACTCTACATCAGCACAGAGAAGTGATGAGTTTCTCTTTGCAGTCAGCTTTGCATGTGGTTTTTTTTTTACATAAGCATTATGAAGAATTGTATTCTCTCAGGCATAAGTAATGAACCTCTTCTCCTTTCTAGTAATCATGTAGCCATTGGGAAGGTTCACAGGGACTGTTCTGAGATCAAGGTAATATCGCTACCAATGTGGAGGAAAGTTTTTTCATAATGGTCTCTGTGTCAAAGGTTGATTTAAGTTTGATAAGTGAATAGAAGCAAGCTTCTTTAAACAAACTTTTGGTAAACTGATAAATTAGTGTTCAAGAAATCAGGCTTTATTCCAAAGCTCATGTTTATTTTGGCCCTGATTGTAACTTGCTAAACCAAAAGTATAGCTGAAGCAAGACAGTTGATTTTGAGTGGGGTTTTGCAAATTCCCTTGCAAACCAGGAAATAAAAATGCAAATTGCACACAGTTCATCTGCTGGGAAGTCTGCTTTGTGGTGTACATTGGTATACTGCTGCTGTCTGTGAAGGAAAAAGACTGACAAGGGGGAATGGAAGGTCCCTCTGAGTGTGGAAAGCTTGGGTGCTTTCTTGGGATACCTGGAGTGCAGACAGTAGGAGATTTGAACTGGTGGTAAGAAACAGAGTCAGATGAAACACAGGCTAACAAAGTTGTGTTTAGAAAGATGTACCACAAGAGACTTGTGAACATCTTGATGAGGAGGAAGAGCAATCAATGTATTGTTCTCCCTTGCTGTGCAGCTGCCCCAGAGCTTTGCTGACAACCTCTGCTCAGTTTAGGCAGGACCACTACAGCCACATTAGAGACCTTTATTTTCTCCAGGCTGAAAGGCCCCAGCTCTCTCAGCCTGTCATGCTCAGAGAGGTGCTCCAGCTCTGAGGTCATCTTCAGTCACCCCTTTAACAGTCAGCCCTATAAAACTTACCAAAACATATCATCAAACCATTCCCAGTGAAGAAGATGGAAGAAAAGATCCAGCAAGATGCTGGATCGGGCAAATAGGTAGTGAGTGTTTGTAATAATCAATTTAATTAAATGAAGCATTTCTAATAAGCCCTAAGCTAACCTAGAGAAAGTGATGTGTATCTACACCTGTGATGATGTATATGTCATGTTACTGTAAATTCATTGTAGGCTCAGGAAGATTGTGATATAGGATTGGCATCAAAGTCTGTATATGATAGTAATTTTCTCATGGCATTCTCATAATTCTCTTGAACTGCATTCTTGCAACCGAAACCTTTTCTATAAATGTTTTCATCTTCCATTTTCTCTGCCATATATGAATAAATACCAGTATTCCTTTTTTTTTTTTTTTTTTAATTTTTCCTAATCCCAGGGAAGCTTTTTGCGCCTGTATTATCCAGCATATGATGCCACAGATATTGAAGAAGCACGATGGATTCCAGACAAAGAATACTATCAGGGTCTCTCTGACTTCCTTAATATGTACCGAGTTGTAGGAGAAAGGCTTTTCCATTATTATGTTGGTAAGACTCGTTCTGGTTTTATTCCTTGCCTGTTGCTGCCTCCATGCTCCATGAGCAGGGTGCTACTGCTGCAGGGCTGAAGAAGAGTTTTAGTAAAGAAGTGTGTTTTTGTGGGATGGGTTTGTGTAGTGAGGCTGATGAATGGGACCCCAGCTCACAGGCAGTCTCTGCCTGCTTTGGATAGGAGTGTCTGGGCACAAGGAAATGTGCAAGGATATAAAAGTCAGAGAGATCCTAAGGTCTGAATATCAGCAAGACCTGGATGCCTGACTCTGAAGATTTAACAGATATGTAGACCTTGTGCCAGGCTGTGGATGGGAGGAGGAGAAGTATCTTCTGCCAAGTAGAAATTATTCTCAGAATCAGATCCATATTTATCTTCTACTTTAAAGATGAGTCTTGGAACCTTATCTTTAGGTGATTGCTCTGATACCAGTGGTCAGCTGTAGATCTCTCCCATAGGAACAAATGCTTTCTCTCATTCCAGTAATAATGATGTACACTTCCACTTTTATTTAGGTTCAGTGACCTGTCCTGCAAAGTCAAATGCTGCTTTTAAGCCAGAAGAAAAATACCCACTTCTTGTTTTTTCCCATGGACTTGGAGCTTTTCGGTAATTTTGCAGTTTAATGACAAACTGTTTTTGTTGTCTATGGAGACAGCAGTCTCCAAGGGTGGTTCTGAACAGATTTTCAGTAGGGGGGTGAGATCCTTGTGGAGCTGAAAGATTTGAAGAACAGGCTGCCATGTGTCATTATGCTCCCACTGAAACAACTGCAGGGTTGGCGTATGCTTGGTCACAGAATAATAGAACAGCCTGGGTTGGAAGGGTCCTTTAAAGATAATCTCTGCTGTGGGCAGGGATACCTTCCCCTAGACCAGGTTGCTCAGAACTCCATTTGTGTTTTCCCTTTGTATGATGGAGGTGAAGATATTTACCAGCCCATGAGGAGGTTGTGAAGATCAGCTGGTTGATTTTGGGACAGCTCTTTGAAGATGCAAAGTGCTCTGTGTGCTACTTACTAAAAATCAGTGGCATTTTCCTTTCTGAACAGACAGTAAAACAGTACCAAGGTTTTGTGAAGAGGCTTTGATGCCTGGCATATGAAATCTTATTCTGCTGGGTAGCAAATTCAAAGAAAATAAATACTGAGTGGAGACTAGTGCATACATAATGTGGTCAGCATTTAAAGAGTAAAGGAATTGAAAGAATGACTTCTCACCAGAGTGTGGTTTTTATTGCAGGACAATCTATTCTGCTATTTGCATAGAGATGGCTTCTCAGGGCTTCATAGTGGCTGCTGTGGAACACAGGTGAGTGTGCTGCACATTTTGGAGTTCTTTCTCATGTTGAACAGAATGTTATTTATTCTAAAGAAGAACTTCTGGATTTTTTAAAAAAGAAAAACTAACATCTCTTTTACAGCCCTGCCCACACTGCCCATAGCTCAACTCTCCTCCAAACAAAGGGACTTTTGTTTAGATAAGCCCCAGACTGAAGTCTTGGGGTAGATATAATTTGTCATTCTTCAGATATGGTATTTGTCTCACTGTTAGAATATAAAGTAGGTGAAGAATATAGAGGAGGTGGGAGTTTTGGTGAGGTCATTGCATTATTTAGAAAGTCTGTGTACACTGGATTGCAATTGCAGCAGCACTGGTTAATAGCTGATCTCTTCAGATGAGTGAAATCTAAAACTTTTGCTGACTTCATCTCAAACCAAATGGAATGCACACCCAGAAATAACCTCCTCTTGGTATTACAGAGATGAATCTGCTTCAGCCACATATTATTGTAAAAGAAGGTCTGTTTCTGAGTCACAGGAAGAGTCTATGCCTAGCATGGAGAAGGAGTGGATCTACTACAGGAAACTGAAAACTGGAGAGGAGGAGCGCTGCTTGCGCCATAAGCAGGTGCCTGGGCTGGCTCTGTGCTCTGGGAAGTGTGGCTGGAGTGCTGTCTTTAGGTCTGTCAGAGTCTCCCTTTGGCCGGGGGAGCAGATAAAAATGGATCGAGTCCTGTGTCCCTGAATGTAGAACAGCCAACAACAGCTTTGCTCCGAGCATAAACTGCTCCCTCAACAAAGCTTTTTCTTGACGTTGCATTCTTGAGCTGAGTCATTTGTTTCTCTTCTGGTTCACTCAACTTTCTGTTTCTTCTCTGTCTCTTACACTTTTACTGCCCAACCCAGCCAAAAAGTGACACAGAGTTGAGCTCAAGTGTTTGTGTGGCCTTAGGCTTGCATGAGCTTTCATTTACTGTTCCATGGAATGATGAATCATGGCTGCTCTGAGTGGGATGTTTGCTTTATAGTCCTTACCACACTTGAAGGTGTTTTTTAGCAATGTAAACAGTGCAGACTTCCAATTTATTATAAGCAGTATCCAAGTTGGATGTAATGTGGCCATACTGACAAGCTCTTCCAAGCATACACTTGACCTTTAAAATATGGGAGTGGTTTTTCGAGCTGATGAAAGCTCAGCCAGGGAGGTGCTTTCTTTATCTCCCTGGGCCATACAGACACTAGTACAAGAGTCATTTCCTGGATGAGTACAATATCCTACCCATGAGTGTCAGTGTGTAATGTCTGAGCTTGGAAATAACCTTCAGAAGCCATTGTCTGCAAATTTCCCAAGTAGAGAAGTCAGGAGATTGGGATTTATTTGAAATCCAGTGATGCACAGACATCTTGTTGGCTGCCTACACACTGTGGTTCCCAAGATCGCTACTGTTCCTTGGTTCTTCTTGAAGCTTTCTTTTACTGACATACCAGCTAAAAACTGTTCTTATGGAACAATGAAAACCAGTTTTTGCAACAGCTTCACTACAGTTTTCAAGGATGAGTGTATATAAAAAATGGGATGGGCTTCACTTTTTCTAGGTTTGTTTTATCCAGTGCAGAGACGGTTTCAAGGCTATTGTGTGATGGGGCAAGTGATAAAATGACATTTGCTCATCCAGGTGAGCCTGAGAAGCATCAGTGAGTCAGCCTTCCTTGGAGTTTTGCAACTTAAGCCTTTGCACATCCCAACAACCCCTTTTCTTAAGCAGTGACAGTATGAAGGAGTTGAAGGTCTTTGGTGCATGTTACAGGGATAAATGCCTCTGTGTGCAGAGGTCCTACACAAGAGATTCAGCTCTCTACACCACCAGAAACCAATCTTGTTGTTCATCACATGGCTTCATTCTGCAGTTCAGAATAGTGGGGGAAAGCTATCATAGTAAGTCTTGTGTCCAAAGATCTGTCAAGCCTGGCAGTTGTCTGATGATTCCTTCCACTGCTCTGCTCCAACCTCTCTTTCTCCCCAGGTGCAGCAAAGAGCACAGGAGTGTATCAAAGCTCTCAATCTCATTCTTAAAATCAATTCAGGAGAGGAAGTAACGAACGTACTACATTCAGACTTTGACTGGAACAGCCTAAAGGTGAGTGCAAGGTGCCACCTGCATTTTGTTACACCTGATAATGCTTCTGATTTCCCCCTTCCATTTCTAAACTGGTTCATGTAAAGTATTCTGAAGATCACTGTGTAGATCTCTGAAAATATTCTCAAGTCATCCAAAGCTGGATAGAGAGTAACAGAGCTGAAATGCTGCTCTTCCTACTTCAGTAGGATCTAATGCCTAAAAAAAATTATTCCCTTTAAAAAAGTAAGTTTTTGAAAGAAAGTCTCTTACAGCACCTGGATTTTTTTGACAGGATTCTGTTGATACTAGCAGAATAGCTGTGATGGGACACTCTTTTGGTGGTGCTACAGTAATTGAAAGTCTCAGCAAAGAAATAAGATTTAGGTAAGTATGCAAAACAAGGCCAGAGACATTTGGCACTTGAGAGGTCTGGAGCAAGGCACGTTACTTAGGATCCCCCAGCTGCTAATTGGCTCCTGAAGAAGAGTGTTGGCATGCCTTGCTTTCTCCAGCCATGCTTTTTCCAAGCCTGGGGATGTGGTGGAACATTACAGCTGCATCTTATTATATCATGATACTGTGGGACTCTGCAGTCCAGCTGCACCTGGCAGTGGAGACCAACATATGGACTAATGGACTAATTCTCTTCCCCCAGAGTAGAGATAATTATGAAACAAAATTATTCATTTACCTGTTCAGTATCAGAGAGACATTCTCTTTCCCATGTCTCTTGCAACTCAAAGCATACCCAGAACTTTCAAACTTTCTGCTTCTGTGCCAATATCCAGATGTTTTTGGCAGGTGTGGCATTGCCCTCGATGTATGGATGCTTCCTGTAGGTGATGACATTTGCCAAAACAGCGTCCAGCAACCGCTGCTTTTTATCAACTCTGAAAAGTTCCAGTGGGCTGAGAACATCTTAAAGATTAAGAAGCTCATCTCCAATGACACAAACAAGAAAATGATCACTATCAAGTAAGTGCTCAGGAGCCATCATTTCCATCCATGGTTGAAGCTCTTGTTGGAGCTGTGCAGTTACAGGTAACTGCAGACAGACAGACAGTCCCTAGAGCACAAGTCTGAGGAGGAGCTGGGAATGTGTACCTGGAGAAAAGGAGGCTCAGGGGGACCTCCTCACTCTACAACTCCCTGACAGGAGGGTGGAACCAGGTGGGGGGTCAGGCTCTTCTCCCAGGGAACAAGAAGAAATGTCCTCAAGTCATACAAGGGGCAGTTCAGATTGGATATTAGGAAATATTTCTTCATTTTTAAACTGTTGTTAGGCATTGGGCCAGGCTGTTCAGGGAAGCTGGGGAGTCATCATGCCTGAAGGTGTTTAAAGGACATGTAGATGTGGGATATGGCTCTAAACTATATCCGACTGAGGGATACAGTTTAGAGTTGGAATGGCAGTGCTGCGTTAATGGTTTGATTAAATAATCTTCAAGGTCTTTTCCAGCCTAAATGGTACTATGCCTGTCTGTCCTCATGGCCCAGGTTTTTACTGCGTGTTTAAATTAGCCATACATCCCCTACAGCAATGAGAGAGACCTCTCAAAGCAGCCAGGAACCCCAAGCTTAAGACACCCCAAGGCATTCCTGCCCTGGGGCACAAGCTTTGTGTTAAGCCTTGTGCACCACCTGCATTTAACACTGGAAACAGCCGTCTGGGGGCAGTTCTGCAGCCAGGGGAGGGATAGCTCTATCCTGCACCACTGAGCAAGGAAGCAGCTTGATTTTGATGCTTTGCCAAGCCAACTCTTTATTGTTGTTACAGTGACTTACAGCGAGTATGTACAAACCTTCCTCCCTTCTGTGGTTAGGGTAGAATTTCCTGCTGATCTTGCTTGTGAGATTAACCTGTTTTATCTTCTCTTAAAGATGGCACAAGACATCTGACTGAAGTCTGTGCATCATTTAATCAGGCTATTTAATATAGTCTTACAAGCCTGATAATAATTTTTCTCTTTGGAGGGGGTCAGTACATCAGAGCTTTCCTGATTTCACCTTTGTGAGCGGAGGAATCATTGCAAGATTTTTCAAATTAAAAGGAGAAATAGATCCAAACGAAGCTATTGATATCAGCAATCGTGCTTCATTGGCTTTCCTACAGAAACATCTGAGTAAGTATGTGTTTACAGCAAAGTATGATGTTGACTAATATTTCATTCCTGTGAAGCTTTTTTATATAACCATTCAGTTTAAAACAAGATCAAAATAAGTGTGTCAGTGGAAAAAATAAGTCAGACTTCTTCTAGAGGTTTGTCAGTTACTTTTGTAATCTTGGAAACTCAGAGGAAAATCACTGACATTTTGTTCCGGTACAGAAAATTTGGAGTATCATTTTTCCTCCTGAAAACATTTTTCCTTCTCTACTTTGCTGAATTCATTTCATTATTCAGTGTAGTTTTACAAAAAGCTGGTTACTTAACTCATGGCCACTTGGTTTTCTTTCCCCCATTCTATAGGTCTTAAGAAGGATTTTGATCAGTGGGATTCTCTTGTGGATGGCATAGGAGCCAATGTTATTCCTGGAACCAATATTGACACATCTCCAGCTGAACCTGAGTAAGGAATACAAAGTAGTACTGAAAATGCCATGGACCTCAGGACACTAATACTAGTCAGACATGTTGTGGCATTAAACACAAAGCTTTTGGAGTGTGGAACAAAAAAAAAAGGCACTAAGTTACATAATCATAAAAACAGAGGTTTCTGTTCAAATGAGTTAGTGGGATGCTCTGAAATACTGCAATAGGGTAACTTCTGCTTTGTAAGCAGCTTGGGGGAAATCACTTGGTAATAATTTAAATGCTCTTTCTGGTTTTGACTGGAGTCAAGTTTGCAGAAAGACAGATTGAGCTCCAAGGAATTCAGCTACAGGTTCCTTTACCAAGCTTTATGTAAGTTTGCATCCAGCAAGCCTTTACTGCAGGGTAGGAGAAAAGAAACAAAACAAAACAAAAAACCCAAACCACCACTTTTCCGTTTAGAGTCTTTCAGCTGTGCTCTGACAACAGTTGGGAGTTAAAGATGCCTGTGGAGGGTAGTCTTCAAAACTGTGTCTTACTAAAATAAGTCACAGTAAAAGCTACAGGAAAGACTTCAGCTGACAGCAGATAAAGTCCAGACACAGGACTCCTCACAGGAGCTTAATCCACTTAAATGTAAGAGGTGTTCAGTGCCGTATGTAGAGGATGATATTTATATCTCAGAAGTTTTTCAATGGGCCACTCTAGTAGCAACTGTATTTGCCCTTGGGCAAAGCTCCAGCAGCTCCTCCCTTTGTCTGTGCTTCCACTGTCACACAGTCAGACTGCAGGGGAAATACAGATGTGGCACCTCTACAGCTCCCTTTACATGGTCCTTGTCAGCACTGCTTCAGCTCCGAGTTCTCTCCAGGTAGTAAACACTCCCCAGACACTCTGCTTTGTCCAGGTACTGCCAGTCATCTCTAGGTGACTCAGTTGGCTCCCACTGACAGATACAGACAGCAGTGGTTGTACCTGGACAAAGATTGTCAGCAGCCACCTGGGTGGCATTCTTTAAGGCTCTCCTTTTTGGATCAGAACTGCCTGAAGCTGCCCCATGGAGAGGTGTCTTCTAAATTCAGTTAATTTCAAAATCAGGTTACAAAGAAAGCCACTGAAGCAAGCAAATTAAGAAATTAACAGTGTAATTAAGTATTTTACATAATCTGTGATCTTAAAATGAGATTGCAATAACACCTAAGACCTGTCTTTCAGAATTTAATTAAATTCTCCCCAGCCTAGTGCCATGCATTGTCTGTATTAAGCAAATAAACGTGCTTGTCTTACTGAGTCAGCACTAACACTTGAGATCTACTGTGAGGTTCACTATCAGCCAGCTTGGGTTTCCAAGTCCTTGTTTCAGCATGAAAAATCCACAGCTTCTGAAGAGGAAGGAGCAGCTGTGCTATACAGGAGCATGGAACACCACTATAAAAGACCTTTTCAACACCTGAGAATGAGAGTAAAAGGTGAGATCTTGAAACAGCTGCAGGTCCTTAAAACAGCTTAGCATTTTGCACACATATGGCAGCAAAACTATTCCATTGGGTCTTCTTCATATTTGTAGGAAAAGCTTCATCTCTCATTAGTACAACTGCAGCAAGTTCAATTAATTAAGTGCAATTAAGGTTTCAAAACGTTCACAATAGCTCACAGTGCTCTAGAGAGCTGGTTAGGATCAATACACAACCAGTGACTGCAGAACAGCCCTCACACAGCATTTGGGCTTCTGCACAGGAACAGACACAAGTCATTAAAGCACACAAAACAAACCAGTATATACCACCCAAAGCTTTATTCCAGCTTCTTCCATTGCTTTAGAACAGCAGCAAATGCAAGACTTCAACCCAAAACAACTATGTTCTCCTGTGGAGAAAAAAAACCTCCCCACCCCTACCCCCCAGAAATACCCTCAATTTTTTTTTTTTTTTTTTTTTGAGAAAAAGAACACTTAACAGTGCAACTTTTCCAAAAGCAAACATCAGAAAGCAGTGCTGTACAACACAATAGCATATACAGAAATGCACAAAAAACTTTTGTTGAAGAACCACCCCACCAAGAACTCCATTCAAGTCAATGCATGCTAGTCAATAAAAATGCAAGTCGAGAGGCAAATTCCTATTTAGGAAATTACACTTATAAGAAACAAGTTAACAATAACAGTCTAACAACAACATCTGTAAGAAAACACGCTGAAAATAAGTCTGCCAACACTATTCCTTTACTGAACAGAAGTTCAGTAGACAGGTATTTGGTTGGGTAGAAAAAAAAAAAAACTACTCAATGCTCTGCTGGCATTTTTGTCCCCATAAACACATTTTCATGGAAACATTTACTACACAGGCACTTGTTCAGTTTCATGTGGTTAATGTACCACTTGGTTTCAACACTGCTGGAGAACATGAAGATCTTCAGCTAAATTGCTGCTGCATCCAGTTTGCTTTTCTATAGGGAATAAACACAGATCAGACCCATCAAGATGTTTCTATAAATGTGTATAAGGGCATAAAGATCAAAAGTCAACTCTACAGGGCTTCAGACTAAATACTGCTAACATACTGGACCATGTTAGAAGACTATAGTTATTATAGATAACTATATAGATAGTTATTATATATAACTATAAGGATAAAACAGCTGAAACAGCAGCACTCCCAGGTTTAAGTTATGAGTTCAAGTTACTCCATCCCTCAGTAGACTTGGCATAAACCACTGCAGGATTTTTTTGCACCCTGAGTACCTCCTACTCAAACTGCCTTTCCAGGCAGTGGCAGTGTGTGCACCAGGTTCCAGCTCTGTAATGTGCAGGTGCATGACCCTGACTCACCTTTCCTGTGCTAGTGCAGAGTACATACACTAATTCCATGCAAAGGGTCCAAGAACAGAAAAAAAAATCCACAAAGTCAAGAATAATCCTGCATTTGAGTGATGCAATTGAGGGAGAGTTTATAGATTGACCATTTTAACATTTTATCAAATTCTTTAACTACCCTTTTTCTTGCTCAACAGGCAACCTGATTTCTGTTGTAGGCTTCCTTATTTGTTACCCATAAACGAGTGGTTATACTGAAATACAATCACCAATTAATACCTGAAAGCACAAATGCTATCTCCACTTCAACTCAGTTTAGTCTTTATTAGGCAACCACAGAAACAAATTGCCCAGACAGGTTTTGGAGTCTCCATTCTTGGACAGATTCCAGAACTGGCAGTAAGGTCCTTAAGAACCTGATCTAGTTGGCCCTGCTTTCACCAGCAGGAAAGGCCCCTTTCAACCAGAACTGCTCTACAATTCCATAACAGCATATAAACAAAAAGAACCTGTACTATTTATTTGGTACACTGAAGAGGTGTTTAACAGTAACACTTCAAAAATTTTAAGTAACAATAAAGAAGTACATGTACTATTCACAAATTATCCTTACAATAACTAAAATGCTATTATTATGGATTTAGATTTATAGATTATAGGACTGGGGCACTCAAATGCTAAAGTGAATGCTTAATAGAGTTTGCCTAGCAGTTGCTCATCTTGCCTCAGAAACATGACCAATAAGAGCATGCTGATGGCAATGCTCAAAACCCTGCCAAAATCAATAACTTGGGTCAACAACCCAGCTGTTCCAAGAGGCTCAAATCATTAGATTAATAAATAAATACTAAATTGGTTTGTAATCCAGACACAGTAGTAGATTTCATCCCACGTAATTACCCTTAAACTAACAGTACATAAGCTAATGCTATCAAGAAAATCCCAACAGTATCAACTATGTAAGCTCAAATTAGTATTTCAACTGTATTTTCTAAAATAAAGCATTTCCTAGAAAATTAGAAACCATTCAAACACAGAGTACACAACATGTTGGGGGGCTTAAAGTAGACTTACCTTGAAGTAAGGACTCCTCTGGTAAGGACTGCAAGTTTTCTGTTGCAGGAGTTAATGCCTACACAAAAAGGGATCCTGTTAGGAAGCTGGCACTTTTGCAAGACTTCCACGGAGGTGCTTCTTGAATACTAGACTAACTTCTTGCATCAGCACTACTGGACTCCTATTTACCATTGTTTTCCCCCCTTATAACTCACTACATTAGTCTTCTGCCCACTTTTCACTTTGATACAAAGGCTGCATGTGAAGAACAAACTGGGAATTCATGCTGTTATCATCACCAGCAGCATGGCTCATGACCTGAGCTTTGGGTTCCAGACACTAATTTTACATCTACTGGTAGGTCCTTAATGAAGAACACTGGTGAAAACCTTACTATTCCTTCCTAAGTACTCCATAATAGAACTATTTTTCATGACTTAGCAGTTGGTCAGCAGCCTTTCTAAAAACCTGTACTGTCCTGCCCAGTCCAGTACCACACTGCCATACCTCAGATGATCTGCGAGCCCCATCAGGAATTCCATTCCAGACATTCTCAGGATGCACAATCTCCTCGCTGCCACTGCAGAGGTTCAAGACCTGGACAGACAGTCAAAGGGGATCTGGCACACTCAACAAGCAAGACACAGCAGTAGGAAAACACAGTTGAGGACTTTAAGAAGGTGTTGAGAAGTCTGGATTTTGCAAAGAAGAACAAACTAATAATAAAATAAAAATAAAACTGAATGTGGGAACTGAGGTTGCTCAAGGCTCTTCTGGGCTCCTAACCCAAGCATAGTTGAGAAAAGAGGCTGCAAAACAACTACTAGATCAGAAATAGAAGGAAGCTGATAAATAGAGATATCATTACATGATTCCTGACACTGCCTCTCATCTGAATACACCTGAGCTTAGTTTTAGACACCCAAGGGATCTACCAGCATAAGAGCTGGCTTCCACAATCTCAGACAGTCAATCTTCCAAAAGGATGCTTTTATGTAACGATCTTTTGGATTTGCAATCTTAAATTACAATCTAGAGGTCATTTTATATAAGTATAATGTCTGTGCATGTGTGTACATCAATAAACACTCCCCCTGGACTGAAGGAAGAAGTCTCACTCATCCCCCAGCTCAAACAGCAGCCGAACAAGGCAGCTCACTGCATTATTCTCTGCTGTTAAAGTTAACTCCCACCAGCCACTAATGCAATACACATTTCACGGAAGCAGAAGTAGTTGAGGATTTGTTATTACTTGCAGTATAGTTTGAGTTTCTTCCCAATTTCCTACTGCTGTAGCACTAACTCCTCAAAACATCAGTAAAACAACGGCAAATAATAAGCATTTAATGGCAACACAGCTCCACTGCAGAACACTAACTTTCAGGCCAGACAGAACCACACACATATGTGTGTCTCAAATTGGAGCCAGCTCCTTCAGTATTCCCAGTCAATAAAAGAGAGTAAGATGTGAAAGGAACATCAAGTGTTGGCATTTATCATCAACTCAATTTGAGATATTGCTGCTTCTCTCTAGTCTGTAAATTCAGAATCAGCCTTTGAAATACTTAAATTCTGTAACAAAATATTTAGAGTTTAGAGAAGGACTAAAGAAAGATTAGATCTTAAGAATGCAGAAAGAGTATTCAAACCACACTCACCTTGGTACCCTTCTCAGATATCTCCAAAATGCGAGCATCACACCATTTGAGAGAAGTCCACACCACACATTTGGAACCAACAGCAAAGCCCTTCAGATTACAAGGATAGTCATGGTGTGCTACAAGAAATGGTAATTTAGCAATGAAGGAGGAAAAAAAAAACCAAAACCAACAAACTCACAAAACCCCACAAAAATCAACCCTCAAAAATCAACTCTCAGATACCTCAAACACTGCTGCCCCGCCCCATCCAAACTACTTGATATTTGAAAGTTAAAAAATTGTCATCCCAAACAGTCTTGCAAATGTGCTGCATGTTCAGAAATTTATTTTCAAAATCATTAATCTTCCCAAGTAAGACTAGTTGCTGAGACTGTCACATTAGCCATGAGAAACTATACTCAGTCTGCTGTCCTTAACTCATCAAAGCATCAGCACTAATACATTATCTTGTTAGGGAATAAAAGCTAGGTTTTTTACAAGACAGCTATTCTCATTTTTGAATGGTACAACATTTTGATTATTTAACTCTTTAAAATCAGATACTTTACCTGCACTGCAGTCAGCCAGGTTCTCATTTTGCTTTTCGTCTTCCCCAGGTTTACAGCCTAAAGACTGAACACACATATTTCCACTCTCTTTAAATGAGTCATTCAAGTCTTGTTCCATCCATTCTTCCACACAGTCATCTCTCCTCTTCTGCCACCCCTTATGTTTCTCAACTTTATAGTCACATGATTTCACAGTGAAAACAGGCCCTGGATTTGCTGAGTCT